GAAAAATAAGAAAAAAACAAATGCAGCCACAACATCTAAGACTGGTAAGATGCAATATCAGTATATGTTCATGCACCACACCTGATTTGCCCCTTCTTCTCTTTGTCTGGAATCTACTGTACAGGGCATAACCGGGGATTAATACCAAGTCAAATTCAGTTACACTTGAAAGTAGATTTTAACTGAATATATAACTGCATTAGTTCTTGTTTTTTTAACTAGTTGCCGACCGCAGATAGCCGAATGACGGCTGCACTGCGGCCGGCCAGTTCTGAGTGGACGTCATATGACGTCCTCCCAGAACGCGCTCTCCTGCGCGCCCCAGGGGGCGCGCACCCGGCGATCTCCGTGATCGCTGTGTCCTACGGACACAGCTGATCACGTGATGTGGTAAAAGGCCAATCACAGCGGCCTTTTACCACGTGATCAGCGGTGTCCAATGACACGCTGATCAGAGGGAAATGCAAGTGCCGGTTCTCGGCTGCACTTTCCTCACGCTGTCAGATCGTGAGGAAAGTACTGCCGAGAACCGGCAGTTGTCAGAGCGGGGATCGGCACCGATCATCAGGGCACTGATGATCAGTGCCCTGATGATCGGTGCCCAGCAGTGCCACCCGCAAGTTCCGCCCACCTGTGCCCAGCAGTGCGCCCACTAGCTCCGCCCACCTGTGCCCAGCAGATCACCCACCTGTGCACCCACCTGTGCCCAGCAGTGCACCCACCTGTGCCACTCTGCAGTGTCACACACCTGTGCCCAGAAGTGCCACCCACCTGTGCCACCCACCAGTGCAGCCCAGCAGTGCTGCCAGTCAGTGCCCAGGGGTTGTGCCAGTCAGTGCCGCCAGTGTACAGCAGTGATGCCAGTCAGTGCCATCTATCAGTACCCATCATCAGTGTCACCTACCAGTGCCGCCTATCAGTGCTGCATATTAGTGCCGCCTATCCGTGACACCTCATTAGTGCTGTCTATCAGTGCTGCCTATCCGTGCCACCTCATTAGTACTGCCTATCAGTGCCCATCAGTGCTGCCTCATCAACGCACATCAGTGAAGGAGAAAAATTACCTGTTTGAAAAATTTTATAATAGAAGCAAAGAAACTTTTTTTTTCAAATTTTTTGCACATTTTTTTTATTTATAGCGCAAAAAGTAAAGCGCCCAGTGGCGATTAAATACCACCAAAAGAAAGCTCTATTTGTGAGAAAAAAAATGATCAAAATTTCATATGGGTACAATGTTGCATGACCGCGCAATTGTCAAAGTGCGGCAGCGCTGAAAGCTGAAAATTGGCCTGGTAAATAAGGGGGTATAAGTGCCTGGTAGGCAAGTGGTTAATATCTGCCTGGATTTTAGCTGTCAGGTATGCATCAAGTAGGTAGCCTTCACTAGTTTCAATGAAAAATAAGTCTGATCAATTTTTACTTTTTATCTAACTGCATTTGTTTTTATATCTACCTGGATGTTAGCTTGCAGGTAGACAACCTTCAGGTAGGACATTAATTACATTTAAAAAGAGATTTGACAAATTTTTTACTGAATATCTAACTGCATTCATTCCATTGTTAAAACCTGCCTGGATTTTAGCTTTAATCACATAGCAGTTTTGGATAAACTTGAAGTATTAAAAGACTCTTCATACACATCAGTAATAGCGGTTTGTGGTCACACAACGTCGATACATTGCTCCTCAGTGTAATCATCTCATCATTATTTACATCATGATCTCTACAGTTACTAATGCATTGGAGGCATTGCACAAGGTAGAGGTCACACAACAGCAATAAGAAGTAAAAAAGACAGGCAAGTAAATGTAATAAAGCAAAAGAGACTGTCATATAGCATTGACTTTATTTCTAAAAGTCGCGTTATTTCTTGTAGTTCTATAAGCTTTGTTGCTGGGAAAGTAACAGCGATTCTTTAGCTTTATTTTTATCGTACTTTTGTCCTCATGGTTAGTACATTTTACTTATTAGGGTAGTGCAGGCCTTTGGTTTTGTTAATGAAACTTATAAAGTGCTTGAGTCACATGCAAGTGCAATAGCTCCAGCAGATAAAATCTTTATAAAGAGCAATTCAGACAGAAAGCAAATTCCTTCTGGTATCGCTTTGGAAGGATCCGAGAAAGTTAATGGAAAATTTATATTGTCTGCCCTTGGGGCATATTTTGGAGGTCTAAAAGCAGTTAAGGGACTAACTTTAGCTTTGCCATAAAAGAAAAAAAAAAAAAAACTTGCTTAGGGGAATTTTAGTAGGAAGTGTCATGTTTTAACTCCTTACAGTGCTAAGGATACAGCTTTGTCAAAGAGAAGGAACAAAACTTTATGACAAAAGTGAAATGTACTGTATGTATAGGTTTTGGAGTAAGGGAGAAAAACAGATTTTTTTGTTTCTTGTTGTTTCTCTGTATACCATTGTGGAAATTTCCCTTCACATCCTGTTTCACAGACACAACAGGTAGTTAGTGGAAATCTCCCAAAAAGAGGGGAATTCCCCCATAAAACCTAGTACACACTATGAGAAAATCAGATGACCATTCATGTGATTTTCTACAAAAGTGCAAATCACGATGTATTTGTAGTGATATTGATTTGTAAGAAAATCCTTGTCCGACAAAGTCAAATGTAGCTACAAACTAGAGTAGTGGAAGAGGAAGTGTAGGGTTGTTCTATGCTTCTGATCCTCTGCCCATGGCAGTGGTCTTCAGCACAAAAAGAGGGATGAATCTCAATGGGGACACAGATAGCAATAATGACCCGTTCACTTTATCCAAAAAATTAAAAATTAGAGAAATAAATGGAATGTGGTCCATAATGGTAGCAAATTATGACTCTGGTTTATAAAGCACATCAACGTAAAGTGTTAGGTCACCTTTACCAGCCTATGCAGATAAGGGGTGTTTGTGGATAATAAACCGTGCAGCTCTGACTAAAGTTGTATAATACCCTTGCTATAGGTGTAGGCCATTTATGTACTTCATGAAGCCTGGCTGGAATACTCCCAGGACGTTGGTAAGTGAGGCCTAGTCATTACTGCTCACCTACCACACCTCCAAAAGGAGTGAGCTTTTTTTCTTTGATTTAGACCCCCTCACATGCTCTCTCCCCTGATGCAGTAGCTCCAAACTCGAGAGCTCATTCCTGTGATGGTGGAGGTGAGCAGTAATGTTCGGCCTCACCTAACAAAGCCCTGGGAGTTTACCAGTCAGGCTTCAGGAAGTATGTAAATGGCCTACACCCTTAGCAAGGGCATTATTCAACTTTAGTCAGAGCTGCACAATTTGTTTTTATCTACAGACACCCCTTATGTACATAGACAGCTTTGTGGCTGTTAACTATCCCTTTAGAGTGTATCCAACACACACTTGGATATACTGTTCAGTGGGACTAAAACGTGGGAAATTCCAAAGTTTTCAGTTGTCATTGAAACAAGAAGAGGGGGGGGGGGGATAGTTCGCTGGGGATAGCGGTTTGAAAAAACTTCCAAAGAGGGAGAGACTCATGGCCTAAGCAAGAACAGAGAGCAACAATGTAGCAAAGAATCTTGATTGAAGAAACAAAGAGAAAAATATGGTTAGACTTTTTCAAACAGAGCTGAAGAAAGGATGGAATGCTGGAAATATGATGGGTTATACCGGGTAGAAGAAAACAAAAAGGCTTGCAGAAATGGGTTAGGCTTTTTTTGAGCAGAGCTGAAGAAAAATGTCCCTCCTCCTAGGACACTAGCAAAAAAAAAAAACAGGCATGATGGGTAGATTAAGGGTCATCCTGGATGGTTCTTTGTTTTTCTTGCTTGCTAGTTTCAAATCTTCCTGTAGGTGGCAGTATAACCCAACACTATACAATTTCCTGTGCTCCTCAATGGATGGGAAAAAGCGGTGTACAACTAAGTACAAGAGAGAATGTGGCTCAAACCCCTTCTTCTCATGTAACACCACAAGTATATATGGATTGGCACAGTGTTGTCACATGGGGTGGGGATAGAGTCTACAGTCCTTTGTAAGCTCTGACTTGAGTGACAAAGGGACAGTGGGTATATGCTCAGGAGGGGAAGCAATAAAGCAAACATATTGCTTTATACCAAAGTACAATATTGCTATGGATGGTGCTCTTGAAGATTTTTAGTCTGGGACATTTTTTCAGTAAGCCAACCTAGATTAGCACCATTCCAAAAAATTTGTCAGACCTTTTTAATAGTTTCTTGGAACTCATAATGCTGTGTGTTGCAGAAACAATGAGACAAAAATATTATGAATACGAAACTTCGTTCATAAAATCCTACTCAGATGCGTCTTAATTGTGAGTGTGTTTTGAGAGAAAATCTCTCATCTCCAGTGGTAACTCTGATGCAGACCTGTGCAAACTGTCTCAGTTCGCTGTCCAGAATTGCAGGTGCCACAAATATACACGAAAACAGTTGCATATACTTTTTAACTGACAGACAGCCTGCTTTGTGACTAATTTTGTCTAAAATGTGCTTTAACCTCCCTAGCGGTCTGATTATGTCCATATTTCTGTGCTCAAAGCGGTACATTTTTTTGCATGAAAATATGTATTTTTTTTATCGTAGGCCTGTAATTTTTAGGAATAACTCACTGAAATCTGTCCGAACAAGAGTCTAGTAAACATCCCGGGTATGTTAAAATTTGAAACACGAAATCATAAATTATAATTTAATAAATAATCAAAAAAAAATAATATAATAATTAATTTAATTCAATAATATAATCAAACCAAAAACACTGAAATTTGAAATATAGCGCCAAGTTTGCACATCACTGAGCAAAGTCGCAAAATCGTTTTCAGTGTCTGATGACGAATTACCCCACGAATCATTATCACTCAATTCTGCAAGTGGTTCTAATTTACTATCGCTGTTCTCTCGCCGGTCTAAAACCGATTTTGACCTAAAGGGACGCTTTTTGGATGTCATGGATGTTTCTCAATTACCAGGCAATAAGAAAAAAAAATGCAGGCAGGACACAGGACAAAGCACTCGGGACAAAATGTATGTGAAATGGTTTGATACAGCAATGTTTTACTATGTGATTTTAGTGTATTTAGTGAATGTCACTTTTTGTCATTTTCAAATTTCCTGCCATTCCGTCCCCCGTACATCCCGACGCTCGCAGGGAACGGAACCCAGATGGCAGATGCCGACATCCGCCGGAGGACATTACAGGGGACACTGCAGGAGGGACATCGCGGGACAAGGTAAGTGAAGAACAGATGCCAGAGCAGCGCCACATTGTAAGCCCGAGTGTAGCTCGGGGTTATCGCTTTTGGTACTGAAACTTTACCCCGAGCTACACTCGGGAATACCGTCAGGGAGGTTAAGCATCCCTCAGCATCGCTACTAAAAAAAAAAAAAAAAAAATGTTGGAGCATTTCAGAAACAAGTGTATTCATTTTAAGATCATGTGACAGTTTACTTGCAAACAGTTGGGGCACCATTCAATTATTTCAGAAGGTAACTTGTTGCACATGAGTTCAGGTGAAGTTATACAGTCAAGATGTTCCATTTCTTTAGTTGTAAACATTATAAAATTGTGGATTTTCCCATGTCAACATTATAGCTCAATGACATAAAATTCTATTGAAATCCAACTGTGTTCCAGGTTAACTCTATATACAAAGTGGAAACATCGAAGGAGAGTAAATACTTAAAGCACTGTATACAGGCTTGTTTACTGAGATCACACAGATAACACAGGAAAATGATTACTTCCATTTAGCTGGTTAGTCAGTAAAGCCTCCAGGAATAGGTTTAGGTCTCTGCTTTATGTAGAATGAGACATGCCAAGTAAAGAAAAGCAGGCCGACTCGGGTGATCTGGCACAAAGCTAATGATATTCCCATTCCTGTACAATGTTTTGTAAAGGTGGCCATAGATGGGACTGAAATTAAGGTAGTTCAGCAGGGACCATTTTGATCAGCCTGACAGGCTGTGGTGCCGGTCAAACTCTGTAGCCTAAGTTAAAACTGCTATGGCCACAAAGCAGTACAGCTGCAGCGTGTGTACAGCCTGTCAGGCTGTAATGGTAGAATGCTTGTGGGCAACCAGGGGTGATAAACCCACAGCTCAGCTGCCTGCTTTTACCAACCCCAGGCCATCAGTGTGAAAGGGCCCCTAGTGCACACAAAAAGATGAGGTTGTGAAGAGTATATAGATTCCAAATGTATCAAACCTCAAAAGTATGTGAAACTTGAAAAAAAAAAAAAATACAGTACCCAAATTTATCAGTAGGTGATGCTTTAAATGCCTTTACAGGTCATCTTTTTAGACCTGTGTAGCATGCAGTTTACATACACATGCGCACTTGCAACACACAACATTATAGATCTATTAGAACCCTTATATCTCCCCAACCCACTGCTCCAGCTGATCAAGCACAGGACTGATCAGTCAACTGTGCACCCAGTTTCCTTGCCACAGCTCTAAACCGGAAGTGACCAAAGCTGAGCACTTTCAGTTCACACTACTGCAGAGGAGATCAGGGAATAGTTGTTCCTCAATCTCCTCCTGCTTGCCACCCTGACATTAGTTATTGTGGTTCTGGGCAGAGCAGCAGGGTGTGGGGAAGGGCAGCAGTAGGAGTCACGTAAAAGTTGGGTGGCTTTACAGATTGCCAAACATGTCCAAAGAGGCGAACCAGTTAACAAATGTGCATTGTGTTACAGCAGCCTATTCGTTTGAATGGCCTGGCTAATGTACAACGCAATACAAATCAAGCCTGCTCCCTTTTCCCTAGTGTGGAACCACATTGCAGTGTGCTGCAATGCATTGCTGCAGTGCAGGAGTGTAAATAGGCTCTAAATGAACATTTCCAGATTTTTTTTTTTTTTGTTCATTCAAATTTAGGGACACCCTACAGACCATTCCCCACTTTTAAACCACAGCCCATTTTGCAGTCACATCCACAAAATCACATCCTAATTTTTAACATGCACTGAAACAATTGGTCACAGAGTTTTGGAATACAAAGCAGACATTTAAGGTAAACACAAAAATGCCTAGGGCAACATGGGCAGTGAAATGATGCGTAGTGTGCTGTAGCAACTTATGAGTATGGCCAAACTGAGGTAACATTGGGAGGGGCCTAAGAGGGTATGGATTTAAAAAACCCTGACCTTATGCTGTTGTGAGATAGGAATAAGTAATGCAGTGCAGTAGTCGGGAGTGAGTGCTGTAGAGAGCAGGATTTAGGAGCAGGCAGCACAGGGAGCAGAGGTCGGGAGCAGGCAGCGCAGGGAGCAGAGGTCGGGAGCAGGCAGCGCAGGGAGCAGAGGTCGGGAGCAGGCAGCGCAGGGAGCAGAGGTCGGGAGCAGGCAGCGCAGGGAGCAGAGGTCGGGAGCAGGCAGCGCAGGGAGCAGAGGTCGGGAGCAGGCAGCGCAGGGAGCAGAGGTCGGGAGCAAATAACAGAGGAGATGACAGGAACAGGTTATGAAGAAAGCAGAAGTCAGGAGCAAGTAACGCAGAAAGGTCATTAGCAAGTTGCAGACAGGTTGCAGGGAAATAAGTGCAACTGCAGTGAATTTAAAGTATATTATACCTTGTCATTTGACTTGATGGTGGCTCAATGGCTGCATCTGCTTTCCGTTACATGAAAGTCTGGCACCTATTCATCACACAAGGCAGCTAATCGCTGGCATACCCAGCATAGCGCAGGCGCAAACTCAACAACCACAATGTGCAAGCAGTGGAGGGAGGTGTACACATGCCACAGCAAGAATTAACCTCATAAAATGTGGATAGCAGCACTGCCCTCCAAACGTGACCCGTTCACCTGAATGGGGCTGCACTTCAAGTGCATGAGCAATAAAAGCCTCTTTTGTGCCCTTTTCTGCTTTAGTTGCACTTACTTATTAAAGTCTGGCTTCCTCTAAATTAAAGGATAACCTCCATCATCAGATATTTGCTTTTCTAGTGATGGTGCCATTAAGGCTCTCTCATTTGGATAGTAAACAGAAAAAATAAATTAGCTTGTGCACTGGCTACTATAGTATTATGATGTACAGAGAAGGTCATAAATGAAATGTCCAAGTACTTTATCTCTTATCCTTTTTCTCTCCTGGGGTGCTGCAGCTCTGTATTATCTCCACTGAGGGGTGGGAAAGGACAGAAAACATACAAAGAGAGAGTTCACGATCGCCCCCAGTGTAATATCACTTTAGTGTAATAAGGATTAAAAACTTAGCAGATTGCACTCCCATTTTCACATTGGTATCGAACAAACATGTCTGCATATAGAGTGATCCAGTGCATGGTCCCTGTAAGATCCGGGGCCTCTGGATGGTCCGCTGTCAGCTGCAATCTACCAAGGTCTGCACTGGATGCACAGTGACAGACCGCCGGCGTCCCTCCCCACTGCGCATGTGTCCGGTCTGGCCAGAGCCGCACTCCGTTGGCGACTAGTAGCTCTGAGGGAGGATCACAACACAGGAACTCACGTCATGACCACGTCACGGCTGCTATGACAAAGTGTTTCAGAGGCGTGGCTTTGACTTGGACACCACACCCCCGAAACACGTTGTCATAGCAACCATGACGTGGTTTCTGGTGTTGTAATCGATGTTCATTTTTGACTGCAGTGACAAGTTTGAAGGTGTAGGATGACACATTTTTCTCAAACAAATTTCTAACTATGTAAGTGGTTTTTGTTCAGGAAATTACGTTCATTACCAAATCGAATATTAAAAGGAAAAAACTTAAATATTTTTCTGTAGGCATTACTGTATGTACTGGTAAAAAACCGAACAAACATTCATACGAAAATCTACCAGTGTATGGCCAACTTTACTCTCATTTCTTTAGTTTTCAGACACGAAAAACTGGACTAATTATTCCGTAAAAATGTAAGGTAACCATTAAGCACACAATACAGAATATAAATTAAACTAGTATAATAAAAACAAGAGATTGAAAAAAACAGTTGTATTTGTAGTCTAGCAAACAACACGAAACAATATGTTTCTTAGATGTTTATGAAAATCATCCCAGCTTCAGTTCATCAAAACCTCCATCTGTACAAGTCGAGCATTTGTATCTCCAGACATTCTGTATGGAATCATTCCAGCAAAGGTGATAAGAGCACGTGCTTGACTGCGCAAGGCCTGTGATAGACAACACACCAGTTAGAAGGGTGAATCCACTTCAGAAAATGTTTGCTATAAGGACAATTTCTCACTTACTGAATCTTTATCCTCCAAAACTCGCTGTTGTCTGCCAACAGTGGAGGGTCCACTGCCCTTTAGCCTCTTGTACTGAGTGTATAATATGTTCATTGTTGCAAGGAGAACCTCAGATAAGTTTTGTCTGATCTGTACAAAACGATAAAACATACAAAACTATATACAGAGCAGAGACAACATACAGCAATTCAGTCTCATTACTTCCCACCTCAGCTACTGTAACACCCTTGTTTACTTGTCTTTCACTTAACCTCTTCAGCATTTAGGACAATGTCTCATATGGCCAAAGTATGAAGTGGTTAAAACTTGCTCCTGCCTGCAGTTTTACAGTGCCTTGAAAAAGTATTCATACTCCTTGAAATTTTCCACAATTTGTCATCTTACAACCAAAAACATAAATGTATTTTATTGGGATTTTATGTGGTAGACCAACAAAGTGGTACATAATTGTGAAGTGGAAGGAAAATGATAAACGGTTTTCAACATTTTTTTTTTACAAATAAGTATCTGAAAATTGTGGTGTGCATTTTTTTATTCTTTCCCCTTTACTCTGATATCCCTAACTAAAATATAGTGGAACCAATTTTCTTCAGAAGTCACATAATAGTAAATAGAGTCCACCTGCGTGTAATGTAACCTCAGTATAAATACAACTGTACTGTGAAGCCCTCAGGGGTTTGTTAGAGAACATTAGTGCAAAAACAGCATCATGAAAGTCAAGGAACACAGGTCAGGGATTAAATTGTGGAAAGGTTTAAAGCAGGGTTAGGTTATAAAAAAAATATCCCAAGCTTTGAACATCTCACAGAGCACTGTTCAATCCATTATCTGAAAATGGAAAGAGTATGGCACAACTGCAAACCTACGAAGACATGGTCATCCACCTAAACTGACAGGCAGGGCAAGGAGAGCATTAATCAGGGAAGCAGCAAAGAGGCCCATGGTAATTCTGGAGGAGCTGCAGAGATCCACAGCTCAGGTGGGGGAGTCTGTCCACAGGACAACTATTAGTCGTGCATTCCACGACTTTTTATGGAAGAGTGGCAAGAAGAAAGCCATAAGAAGTCCCATGTGTAGTTTGAGAGAAGCCATGTGGGGGACACAGCAAACATGTGGAAGAAGGTGTTCTGGTCAGATGAGACCTAAACTGAACTTTTTGGCCTAAAAGCAAAATGCTATGTGTGGCAAAAAACTTACACTGCACATCACCCTGAACACACCATCCCCACCGTGAAACATGGTGGTGTCAGCCATGTTGCGGGGATGCTTTTCTTCAGCAGGGACAGGGAAGCTGGCCAGAGTTGATGGGAAGTTGGATGGAGCCAAATACAGGGCAATCTTAAAAGAAAACCTGTTAAGAGTCTGCAAAAAGACTTGAGACCGGGGCGGAGGTTCACCTTCCATTAGGATAAGGACCCTAAGCAATACAGCCAGAGCTATAATGGAATGGTTTAGATCAAAGCATATTCATGTGAATGGCCCAGTCAAAAGTCCAGACCTAAATCCAATTGAGAATCTGTGGCAAGACTTGAAAATTGCTGTTCACAGACGCTCTCCATCCAATCTGACAGAGCTTGAGCTATTTTACAAAGAAGGATGGGCAAAATGTCTCTCTAGATGTGCAAAGGTGAAAGACATCCCCAAAAAGACTTGCAGCTGTATTCGCAGCAAAAGGTGGTTCTTCAAAGTATTGACTCAGGGGGGCTGAATACAAATGCACATCACACTTTTCAGATCTTTGTAAAAAAAAATTGAAAACCATTTATCATTTTCCTTCCACTTCACAATTATGTGACACTTTGTGTTGGTCTATCACAAAAAATCCCAATAAAATACATTTACGTTTTTGGCTGTAACATGACAAAATGTGGAAAATTTCAAGGGGTATGAAGACTTTTTCAAGGCACTGGATGTGCTGGAGAAACTATCAAAATCCAGGCCAGCAAGCCAAGAGCTGAGCTGATACACTATACAGTAGTCTATGCTTTATCAGCTGGAGTAGAAGGCAGAGGAGACATTAGGAGACTAATAGTCAGCTGTTCGCCCCCTTGTGATCGCAATAAAAGGCAAAAAAAAATTATAAGCTCCCATCTCCCCACGGACACACATGTAAACACAAATGCACACCTAGAGCACAGAAGTGTCAGTGATTGTGCCACACATTATAGAGTATATCGTCATGCACAACATTTTGAGAACTATTATTCGGGGTCCTCATTTACAGATAACTAAAACGATGAGCAATAAAAAGGCATTTAAAGCATCTCCTATTATTTTAAGTACAGTAATTTTTTTGTCATTTTGCAGAAGCATGTTGTCTTAAGGTTTGACATATTTGGTATCTATTTACTCACAATCTCATCTTTTATTCTGTACAAAAAACTGGGAAATAAAAAAGTGAGATCACCAGTGTATGGGATTTTGTTTAACATCAAGGACGAATGTAGTATATAAGGGTAGAACAGAGGGGGAATCCTCTCATGCAGCCTTAGGCCATCTATAAATAAATAACTTCATTCAAATAAGCACCTGAGCCCGAGCTACCCAGAATGGGAAACTACTTATCCTTTGTTCTACCTTCAATGTAAGACGCAAATCTTGTTCCCGTTTGGTGATGTACAAGGGATAAAGTCTTCCGGTAGAGTGTTGAGTAGCGTGTATATCAAAGAAGCTGTTGAACGTGGTTTGTGATCAAATATTGTGAGTGGACAGGTAAACTTACTTCGAGAAAGTTGCTGGGGTTAGAATCCGAGGAAGCGAGATAGTTGGGCTGTTCTCCCGAAGCTTAGATGAGCAAGATGCAGGTCTGTGCTCAGGAGTTCAAGGAGCAGCCAAATGAAGTTGTATATGAAATTTTTCGCCGCCGTAAAGTATTTCTGCTGATGAGTTCCAGGAAGCCAGGGTTTTCCCAGTTGATAACGACATTTTTAACATATAGAAAATGAAAACATTTCTCCAGTGGGAAATGGTTTAAAACAAAACTAAGTCTCACACCCAAAAAAATCCTAGGAGGTAGACACATGCAATGCCTCTTTTGCCAACAAATGTATTTCTCATATTCTAGCAATTTTTTTTTCTCTTGGGGTGTTCTCTGTACACTTAAAAGAGGCAGCCAGAGACAATGTAACTTCTGCAAGCAGGATTGCCATTGACCAAGATGTGGTGGTGGAGGACAAAAACTATCACAGGACCCTGGACTTGTCAAAACGGAAGGAAAGTGTTGTCAAGAGTCGTGGACGGCTATGAAGAGGAAACTGATAGAGCTTGCAGTTATGCATTTTTATTCAAGATTATTAATGAGAACTCACTTATCACGGTGAACTTCCTGGTTTTCACCACTCATCTCTAAATGTCCCACCCCAGATCCAGCTCGGATCTAGGTTGCCAAGTGGCACATCTTCAGCAGAAATAATATAAAAAGCGAATACTATAAAGTTGTAGTAGCCAGGGCAAAATGGGGCAAATGTCTGACACAAAGTTCCAGCAGATGCACTGCTGTTCTGGGGACTTCCTGGCCGCATAATCTTGGTAGATCCTCCCAGACAGTCAAAGGGTTTCAGGACCCAGCTCTCCTCCATTCTCTGACTGGGAAAAGCAGAGAAAATCCATGGTCTCCTCCATGTGCCTTAATCAGTGGGCAGAAGGTAGCCCATAGTGCCCTTCAAAAGCCCCTGTCCCGGTTGGGTCTGTCACACTTTGTAGATGCTATAACTTTCATACAAACCACTTATTAGAAATTTTTTTTTTTACCAAACACACATTTTTGCCTAAATCTATGAACAAATGTGATTTTATTAGATATGTTTTATGACAAAGTAGAAAATATTTGTTTTCAAAATTTTTTCATTTAGATAATAAATTAAAAAGCCAGTGGTGATCAAATACCACCAAAAGGAAGCACTATTTGTGTGAAAAGAATTATATAAATTTCATTTGGATAGTGTGTTGCATGACCAAGCAATTGCCAGTTAAAGTAGCATAGTGCTGAATAGCAAAAATGGCCTGGTCATGAAGTGGTAAAATCTTCTGGAGGTCAAACGGGTTAAATCAGTGACCAACCCTTTCATTAAATGAACAATACACTGAAATTGACGTAATTTATTGGACGAATAAACATTATGATCATGTATTCTTTAATAGAAAAAACAAAAAAACAAAACAAAAAATAGAAGAACAGCTAAACAGCAATGTACGTGTGCCACAATGTGCAATCATGCTGTGCATACGCACATTATGTAAAAAGCTCATCGCCACCATCAAAAGTTTAATCCTGCTATAAAGAGCCTACGTTTTCAGAAAAAATGAAAAGGTGAACACTTTAATGCTTCACGTATCTGACAGACTATGATTGTTCTTCAATTCACTGCCACTAATTATACTGGATGCCTGGATCAAATTGAAAAAAAGTTCTCACTTAGAAAGAGAAACTGTTTGGTACTGTGGCATAATGAAGAAACTTCTATCACTCCCAAGCCACCCATGCCTTCTAATCTGCTAATGATCTATATGCCATGATGAACCTGTTCTATGGCTTGAACTAAAAAATAATTAAATTGTCTTCTATTTTTGCAGTTCCTCGTGTGTGAAACATTTTTATTGATAGCTTTACAGTACAGCTGGGTGTTTTTGTTTAAATTTTTTTTTTTTAGTTGTATGGTGAGAGTTACCCGTTCCATATACTGTATAGTCACAGACGCAAACAGAGATGGAAAACATGCGAAATGACAATACAGATAGCAGTAAAAACCCAACAGAGGACCTAAATTTTCCTACACAACAAAAGGCTGATGTTTACATGTGAAGAAAGGATACTACAGAAATGGTTTCATATACACAAATAAGCCTGGTACAGAGCTAAGATTTCCTAATCATTGCACATCTTATTCTCATTTAGTTCAAAGTTCTCCTTTAACATGCACCCAGATCATTGATCACACAGTTCCCTTAAGTGTGAATCTTTAAATGAAAGGAATGATTTAGGAAAAAAAAAAAAAGGTTCACTTACCTCATCACTAAAGTTCCTGAAAGCGGCAACCCTTTCCTCCACACTGTCCTGACTTAGTGGAACAATCTTCAGCTTCTCAATGATCTGTGATGTAGTGAATTAGAAAAACAGACCATTACAAAATTATGATATACCTCTTTATAAGAGATTTTTGAACCTGAAGCAAAACCTCAGTACTGGGCAGTCTACTAAGATGTAATCAATCTGGGTACTAGAAAAGATGAGAGACATGTAGTAATGGGCAATACCGAACTTAAGAATAAAAAAAAACTAAGACAAGGCAAACCATTAAAAACTAAAATGGACCTGTTCTATTGTATACAGTGGGTAAAATCTGATGAATAGGAAGCATTTATAGCACTAACATGCTTTGTATCCTTCAGTTGTTAAAGAACACCTATACCAAAAGTCAAACTGTGTAAACTAGCATCACCATCCAAATTTCAAGTCTGCACAGGACCCCAACCCCCCCCCCCGACAGCTATTGGTTCATGAATCTGATGAGCTGCCTTGCTGACCAGCAAAGACATGCGTCTGCATGGTTAGAATGTCCTGGGTAAAAAGAATTCCTTGGGCACTGTAGCAGAAAATGGGGAATATGTGCAAGGATTTCTGGCTGTCTGCACTTGCATAATGATTCCAGATTACACAGAGGTTTTGTGGGCAGATATAGGCTACCAGTCCATTTGGGCATTTAGCCCTTGTATTGTCAAATACCAGGTTTTTGTGTGCCTGAGAGGCACAGGCGGATTGTTCATTCCCACTACAAGTCCATAACAGACTGATATTCACAGCTCTGCATACATTCTGCAAAGGATTGCGAACAGGCAGTTTATTATACTGCAGAAGAGACATGTCTCTGTTGCAATAAAAAGATGGGCCTTTACACAATTTACTTTTTTGGGTTCAGTTCCACTTTAAATACAAATCTCTCTCTTCTGTTCTATAAGAGTATGAGGAGAACACACGGCATTCATAAAACCGTGACTGCAAAATTATTTTTGAAGTGGAGAACTCTCCTTACTGATTTGACAAGCCCATCAGCAGCGCTGGATTACTGGCCCCCCGACTTAGCAGTGCTAACGAGGAACGTGGATGGTGGAGAGTACAACTTGCTTCACAAGGTTATGGGAAGAAGCGGAAAACCCAAAATATCTCAATGGGTTGGGGGAGGGTAGGTAGGTGGGTAAAATGTATCCAGATGTGTTACACTAAACATATAACAAAATAAAGACTACTAATTATTTAACACTACTGTATCCTTATACCAGCTTACATCAAAGGCGACATCTATATGGCCAGCATGATAATTATCAAAAAACGTCATCAAATCCAGCAGCAGGTAAAATGTGGCACTAATAGATTTTTCGGCACTTGTTCCCTGCGATCTGTACCTAGATTAAAAAGGAAAGTGTGTTACTCAAAATTTAGAGCGTTTTTACCAACATTTTTATCTCAAACCATACTGAAATCACTGTACACAGTGAAGCCAATGTTAAAATCTAAATTCATTTTACATACCAAGTTGTGTTAAGACTGTCATTTACAAAACAGAGAGGTTAAAACATCCATTATAGGAGTTCCCAGGCCTACCATGGACATAACTGCCCTTCCTCTGTACAACCATGGAAAATCTATTACACTGTGAAGGTCTGATCCACATACAGTACCTTAAACAAAGGCCATTAGCCATATGCTTAGTACAGAGCACTTTCAAGTGACATTCTGAACACAAAACCCAGATGGAGATCAGGGAAATTTACCTCCATGTAAGATTGGGGTAGGCTTATGGTTCAAAAATCCTGAGGGGGTATGTGAGAGGTCTCCATTTGCTGTAAAATACAGGAAGCTCTTACCGCATTTGTTACGTATTTCCGTAAATGAATTATGAACTGCATAATATTTCCCCAGGGAGTGAGATGACCTTCCAGTGTAAACACCTAAAATTGGTATCTATAATGTTTATGTCTTCTGTGCAGTACAGCTGTGTTTCTGAAAAAATACATTTGATAGCAGCCGTGCTAATATTGGTCGACATAAAAGAAAACTCAAATACATTAAACATCTATTTATTCTACAGACCCTGTGTGTTCAGAAAATTAATTCTGCTCTGAGGATTTTAAGTAATTCAACCACATCCCCACCACCCTATAGGAGATATACTGATACAGGGTGGCAGGAGTGCGCATAATCACGTGCATATACGTGATTGTGAATTTCCAGGTAGGGGGCGTGCGTGCCCTACCCGCAGTGGTCAATCTCCCGCTCCCAGATGATGATTACCGAGGATCTCCGACGGGGAGGAGGGCTGCTTTGTTTACTAACAGTCCTCCTCCCTGTTGGCTCGGGCACACTGCTCTGGATGCCTGTGAGAGCAGTGTCCGTACAGTGAAGCACCAACACACTGCCCCCCCCCCCCAGTAAAAACCACTGCCAGCATACAGTTAACCCTTTGATCACCCCTCCTGTTAACCTCTTCCTGCCCAGTGCCATTAGTACAGTGCCAGTGCTTTTTTTTTTTTTTTTTTTAGCACTGATCACTGTGTTGGTGTCACTGGGGATGTCAGAGACACCAAGTCAGTTCCCCCCCCACTGTCAGAATGCCCGCTGCAGCCCCACTATAAGGCGCTGATCGCCGCCATTATTAGTAAAAACAAACCAAAAAATTCCAGTATCTATACCGCTGTTTGTAAACAGTGTAACTTTCACGTAAACCAATTAATTTACACGTATTGGGATTTTTTTTTTTTTTTTCATAGCAAAGACATGTAACAGAATACATTTTGGCCTAAATTTATGATGAAATTTGATTTTTTTTAAAACTTTTTTACTGGACATGTTTAATAGCAAAAAGTAAAAAATATTGTTTTTTTTTCTCAAAATTGTTGGTCTTTTTTTTTATATAGTGCAAAATATAAAAAACACACAGGCGATCAAATACCACTGAAAGAAAGCTCAATTCGTGGGGAAAAAAAAGGATGGAAATTTCATTTGGGTGCAGCGTTGCATGACCGTGCAATTGTCAGTTAAAATAATGCAGCTCCTTAACACAAAAAATGGCCTGGTCAGGGGGGGGGGGGGGTAAATACTCAGGAGGGCAAGTGGTTAATTATCAAAAATGTTGATTTTAATGTGTGCGTCAAATTAAAGAAGTGCTCCAGTCTCACATCTGCTGGAATGGCTGATTAAACATCTCAACTGGTCTTTGACCATGAGAGCATTTGAGTCCCGATGCAACGCTCATCTGATGATGCAAGGTTTAACTAACATACACACACGTTTTTTTTCCCCCCTCCCCAAGACTGGGGACAAAATATGGGAGACTTTACTTATATAGTCACATAATTGGTTAGTTCTTAGAAAATTATTTTAGGGTATTGTTGCACGGGTATTATACTCCCACCAGAATTGCCAAATGCCTTCCCTTTTTTCCTTTTTCCTGTTTTAGGGGGTGATCAAACCTAAGGGACATGAAACATACAGTTGCAAGAAAAAGTATGTGAACCCCTTGGGATTACGTGGAGTTTTGCATGAATTGGGCATAAAATGTGCTCTGAACGTCATCTAAGTCACAACAATAGAAGAACACAGTCTGCTGAACATAATACTACACAAACATTAGATGTTGCCATGGTTTAATTGCACATAACATGTAAACATTCACAGTGCAGGGAGGAAAAAGTATGTGAACCTTTGGACTTAATAACTGGTTGACCCTCCTTTGGCAGCAATAACCTCAACCAAACATTTCCTGTAGTTGCAGATCAGACCTGCACAACGATCTGGAGTAATTTTGGACCACTCCTCTTCACAAAACTGTTTCAGTGTAGCAATATTCTTGGGATGTCTGGTGTGAATCGCTCTCTTAAGGTCATGCCACAGCTTTTTAATCGGGTTGAGGTCAGGACTCTGACTAGGCCACTCCAGGAGGTGTATTAAGTGCTGTTGCAGCCATTGTTTTGTTGAATTACTTGTATGCTTTGGGTCATTGTCCTGTTGCATCACCCATCCTCTGCGGAGCTTCAGTTGGCGGACAGATGGTCGTACGTTTTCCTGCAAAATGTCTTGATAAACTCTGGAATTCATTTTCCCATCAATGACAACAATCCGTCCAGGCCCTGAGGCAGCAAAGCAGCCCCAAACCATGATGCTCCCTCCGCCATGTTTTACAGTGGGGATGAGGTTTTGATGTTGTTGTGCTGTGCCTTTTTTTCTCCACACATAGTGTTGTGTGTTTTTCCCAAACAACTCAATCTTGGTTTCATCTGTCCACAGTATATTTTGCCAGTAGTGCTGTGGAATATCCAGGTGCTCTTTTGCAAACTTTAAACGTGCTGCAATATTCTTTTTGGACAGCAATGGCTTCCTCCGTGGTGTCCTCCCATGTACTCCATTCTTGTTTAATGTTTTCCTTATTGTAGATGTGTCAACATAAATGTTAGCATGTGCCAGAGATTTCTGTAGGTCTTTAGCTGGCACTCTGGGATTCTTCTTTACCTCATGCAGCATTCTGCGCTGTGCTCTTGCAGTCATTTTTACAGGACGACCACGCCTAGGGAGAGTAGCAACAGTGCTAAACTTTCTCCATTTGTAGACAGTCTGTCTTACTGTGGACACATGAACATCAAGGCTTTTGAAGATACTTTTGTAACCCTTTCCAGCTTCATGCAAGTCAACAATTCTTGATCGTAGATCTTCTGAGAGCTCTTTTCTGCGAGTCATGGTTCACATCAGACAGTGCTTCTTGAAACCAGTAAACCCAAAACAGGTGTGTGTTTTTTAAGGGCAGGACAGCTGTCAGCAACACATCCAATATCATCACACTGATTGGAGTCAAGGTTGGCTCACTCCTGGCTCCAATTAGCTCTGGGAGAAGTCATTAAGCTAGGGCCTCACATACTTTTTCCTCCCTGCACTGTGAATGTTTACATGTTATGTGCAATTAAACCATGGCATCATCTAATGTTTGTGTAGTATTATGTTCAGCAGACTGTGTTCTTCTATTGTTGTGACTTAGATGACGTTCAGAGCACATTTTATGCCCAATTCATGCAAAACTCCATGTAATCCCAAGGGGTTCACATACTTTTTCTTGCAACTGTATATGGTGGACGTGTCCCAAAGCTAAGTGTCTGTGGATTCGTGCATACACCAGGGTCAATCCAGTTCTCCAAATTAACTTAGGCAAAGACCCCTGAGAAGCTCTTTTACACAAAAACTATAGATAACCTTAGTCAGGAACAAACCGTAATTACTCATCTTCATGGCCAGGAAACAATCGCCCAGGTATGGAAATCACTGACACTTAACTTTGCTGAGGTAAAAGGCCATGTACAGGGCATGCTCATAAATGAAAAATTAACAGCGATCCTAAGCTACAAACATGACAAATTATTGCTAATCAGCCAACCCTGGCTCATGTTCCCCCTTCTCAGCTAACCACATGCCTGCTAGATTTGTAGATCCAAGTTTTGGATACTTAAAAGTTGTCAGCCTCTAGGGTATTTTCTTGCCCCCCCCTCACTCGCCACCCAAAACGCTTCTATTTTTCTCTCTCTTCCTTATTCACTTTCCTTCACCTCTTTTTTCTTCTTACTTTTTGCTTTCTTTGACCTACTGTGACTCCCATATTACAAAGCACGGTGTGGAGATGTTGCTTACCTACTACCTGCCCTATTGTCTGAGATCTTGGTTACTGCCTTTGTAGAAAAGACTGCCCCTACCACGAGCCTTTCTGTGACATTATTGTGCACCAATTGAACACATAGTGCTGCTCCAGGGTCTGCTGATTCAGTCACCCGATGATTCAATCCCTGTCAGGTGCAGCTCCTACAGGGCTGCAGGACTGTCAGCAACTTACAAAGCAGAGATGGAAGCAAACACCAAAAGCTGCTCAATTTCAAGTATGTGTTTCACCAATCATAGGCTTAATCGTAGAGCAATTGAGGAGCTCTACAATTAGGCCCATGATGGGTGAAACGCATTAGAGGGTGTGGTTTTGGAGGGGACTGAGCTAAAGCATTCTGGTCATACTTTTAATTGAGAGGCTTTTGGTGTGAGCTTCCATTGCTCCTTAGTAAATTACTCTGTGCACTTATCTTGTCTATGAATCCTGAAACACTCGTACTTGTAGGCACCAATGGACGGCCTGATCTATCACCTGATACAGTTTCTCCATATTTTGGGCCTTACAAAAAGCACTCTCTTTTCATTTTACTTTTCCTTAATTTTTTTGTAAGCATATGCCCTATGCCTGGATAATATTTGTTCTGCACTGTTATAAAATTTTTTGTACACGAATAAAACCAAAATGAAAGAAACTACTCTCATAGCAAAAAATCCTACACGGCAGAGGCATGCAATGTCTCTTAAACCTATTTCCCAGCTTCTTGTGATTTTTATTTTTTTTTTGTATGGCAGGACCCATGGACAATGTAACGCATACTTGGACATTGTGTCAAGAGCTCCCCTCCACCTGTAAGAAGAATAGGACCCGCAGCTTGATGTGGTCAATAAGAAAGGGGGTCAAATCTATATAGAAACAGATCTGAAAAAGGAACCTAGAACATAACAGATCTGGGTAAGAAACATCCGCTGGTCTGAAAGGGAGGACACCAAGCCTCTACACCATGGGTGTCAAACTGGCGGCACTCCAGCTGTTGCCAAACTACAAGTCCCATGAGGCATTGCAAGATTGACAGTTACAAGCATGACTCCTAAAGGCAGCGGCATGATGGGACTTGTAGTTTCGCAACATCTGGAGGGCCACCAGTTTGACACCCCTGCTCTACACCCTCAAGCTCCTACGTTTAAGGGATGAAAACTCAGTGATTAAAGGGGATGTTAAGCCACACAAATTAGCTCGCTAAACAGGAGTTACCAGGGAATTGCTGATCGGCTAGATTTGAACATAAATGCTTACAAGGAGTGTGGAAGGACTTGAAATACTGAAGGTAATGAGGAGAGTCAATGTGACTAAAGATAAGGGTGCATTGGAAGCAAATCCATTAGTGTGAGTAGGAGATAGGTATTAGATGATAGACCAAGACTAGTGAGATGGTAGAAACGAGACAAAAACGGATTAAAGTGGAGTTCCACCAAAAAGCTCCACTTTTCTGCCCCCCCCCCCACCCACACCCTTTCCTGCAACATTTGGCACCTTTTGAAGGGGAAGGGGGTAAAGCAGGTACCCTCTCCCACTTTCCACTGTTCGGCACTCCCCGCAACCCTCTGGGACACTTCCAAGGTCCCAGAGGACTGCAGCCACTTCACAAAGCGCAGCGGGCTTTGCTCATGCGCAGTAGGAAACCAGTAGTGAAGCCACAAGGCTTCACTGCTGGTTTCCCTTAGTCAAGATGGTGCGCCAGCACCTGACTGAAGAATCAGCTCCAGGTGAGGACACCACTGGATGCATGGACAGGTAAGTGCCCTATTTTTAAAAGTCAGCAGCTACAAAAACTGTAGCTTTTTTTGGGAGGTGGCGGAACTCCGCTTTAGGCTACTACATTTTCTCTGGAACACTCTAGGTGTACCACTGGGACGCTCCAGAAGGATTCTGTTGAAGAACTACTCTACCTTCCCAATATCAAGCTATAAAAGTGTATGAAAGTTCCTGATCCTTCATATTCAATTGAAGAGTTGACAGCCGCTCAGCAAGGGACAAAAGTCTTATGCCTGATTAAAGGCAGTGCTAGAAGGGGCATTTAGAGGACCTTCCTCAGGGGGTCACAGATAAACCACAGTACCCCAAAGTTTTCAAGACATACTTCATTTCCCTTTCCAGTCAGAGGAAACCTGTAGCAGGGACCCAGTGTGATCTATTTGCTTATAATCAAGGCCCCCCCAGTAGTGACCTCAACCTGCTACGCAGGATCTACGTTACACCTAAGTGCAAGAACCTAACCTCCATGTCCAGAGACTGCTAGTGGAGGGGAACGGATTCCTAAGAGATCATCCTTAACCATTAGCCGCCCGGCCAATGGCCGTTTGGCGGCTTCAATTGTGTCCCTGCATTCCGGGTGCACGCCATTTGGCGTGCTCCCGCACATGCGCCGTTTGCGCTAATGCAGAGCGGCGCAGCAGTGCGATCTGTCAGCGGCCGTGCACCTCGGACACGGCCCATGACATCCGAGTACCGGTTCCCGTTGCTGGTACCATGTGACCTGCTGTGACCAATCACAGCAGGTCACATGACAGTTGTATACAATGGATGGCTTCATTCATGATGCCATCCATTGTATACTAGTGCCTAGCTGTGAATGGTCACAGCTAATCACATGCACGTCATGTGATTAGCTGTGACCAAATCACAGCTAAGCACAAAAAAAAAAAAAAAAAAAAAAAAGAAAAGCTGAATGAATTGATTTCATTCAGGTAAATGCTTGCTTATAGCAAAGTAATTCTTTGCTATAAGCAAATTGTGTAAAAAAAAAAAAAAAAAAATACTGATCACTTCCCCAAAGTAGTACAATGTTACTATGGTAACATTGCACTACTTTGGTTAAAGTAAAATATGAAAAAAAAAAAAAAAAAAAAAATTTAATAAAAAAAAATTAAACATAATAAAAAAATAAACAAAAAATTAAAAAAAAAAAAATATATATATTTTTTTTCATACTGTCACCAGTCAGTGTCCCTGTTCACTGCCATGCCAGTTATATGATGACGCTGTACTGCACTGGTGACAGTATGTAAAAAAAAATAGTGAAAATAATTTTAATTTTTTTCATTTTCCGAAAAAAATTATGACAAAAAAATACAACTTCAAAAAACTCGCCATGCCTCTTATGAAGTACGTCGGACTGTCTACTCTGCAAAAAGGGGTCATTTGGGGGATATCTGTACTGTTCTGACATTCTTGGACCTCAAGAAATTAGATTGGCCGTCAGTACTTCAGGATTGATCAATATTCAGATCTATACCATAGTTTGTGAACTCTATAACTTTCCTACAAACTAAATAATACATCCTAATTTGGGTTATTTTCACCAATGACATGTAGCAGAATACATCTCGGCCTAAATTTATGAAGAACAATTATTTATTTGTAAACTTTTTATAACAGAAACAAAGAAAATGTGTTTTTTTTTTCAAAATTTTTGGTCTTTTTTTGTTAATTTAGCAAAAAATAAAAACCCCAGCGGTGATTAAATACCACCAAAAGAAAGCTCTAGTTGTGTGAAGAAAATGATAAAATTTTAGTTTGGGTACAGTGTTGTTGATGACCGCGCAATTATCATTCAAAGTGTGAGAGCGCTGAAACCTGAAAACTGGCCTGGGCAGGGAGGTGTAAAATTGCCCGGTATTGAAACGGTTAAGGGACTTAATACTGAGATTTGCAGTATTATCCAATGCCAGAACCAGACTAACTCCCCTGATGCACAAAGAACTCTCACTACCATGAAAGTGAAAGTATAATAGGATCTTTAAAAAAAGTGCTTACACCATTTGACAGAGCATGATACCAGTGATCTTTTTAGCTGTCTGTAAGGATGGTATTTTCACCCTCAAGTTAAGAAGCATTTTATCTTACTGACCCCCAATGAATTGCCTTTAGCAAGAGATCCCAAGGACCAGAAATTTATTGGGGTAAAGAGATTGAGAAAGGCTGCCGTACACTGATGAACTTCAATTTAACTAATCTAAATGCTAATCACTGTGCTTTAAAAACCTTTAAAATGCAAAAACACATATGGGTTACAAAATGTGTAGGTCCATACCTCTCTGCAATAGAAAAAGCCATGTTTTTCAGACGCTCTCTGTTGGACTGTGGCGTGCTGATTTGGGCAACCACGGGACTCAACAACTTATTTGTCAGTTCCAAAACTTTATCTGGATTCTAAAGAGAGGAAGAAAAAAAAAAAAAGAAAGAAAAAACTTTCAATCTGGGCAACATGGTCTAAACAGCTGTCAGATTAAGAACCACATATTCCAACTTGGGTTTTGTTGAAAATTCATATAACTGACATGCGAGGCATTTAGTAGTTAAAATTTGCCTTTGCCTTTAAGTGTCAAAATCAAACTTCTTCTGCATCATGGCAAGACTGCTGCAATAAGTGGCTCCCCGAGGTTCCATTCACACTAGAATGAAGTGTGCTGTATACTGAGAAATATTGAGGCTTGCTGTGTTAGACAGCCCATAGGAAAAATTAATGGAATGAAACATACCTGAGATCATAAAAAAAAAATAGTACAGGATGCATGTTTCTCAGTGCACTAAACACCATATCTGGCAATGCACTGCTGTGTGTAACAGGGCATGTGCGTTTGGGGTTCCAGTTTCGCAACACGGGTGGTGTGAATAGGCCCCACCCCCTCCCACAACAGTATGTAGAGAGCTTTTCTGTAACAAATAAAACATCCCTGATACTTTCTCAAAAGCAAGATGAGAAATGACAGTCCCAGTGCAGTAAAGTCTAAGAAACCTAAAAACCCCCCATAAAATTAAGTCCCAAGACACCAAGCTCATTGCAAAATTTCAAAAGAAGTCTCAATTCTTAGTTCCTCCTGCACCTTAGGGGACAAAGCGCATGCAGCACTTTGTCCTGTCGTTTTAGGTGGTTCGAATCCTGAACGGGGGTTGACAGCATGCTGAATGACCAAGCTGCTCACAAGGGGACAAATATTTAATTAAGAGTTCTGAGTGACAGCGTCTGTCCCAGGCAGCAGTTCAGGCAAGGTGAATTACAAAAGGAAAAGAAGAGGACAACAACAAGACTGGCAGGGCAAGATGAGGAAATAGAATGACTACAGGAGACAGGGGACTGTATACAGGTGCCAGCAGATAAGAGAATGAAAGGAGGAGAAATGAGACTTGCAGAGGGAGGTGGGGGAAGAGGCCTGTATACAAGTGCCCAGGAGAGAAGAGAAAAAGAGAAGAATGAGATTGGCAGTAGGAGGTGAGGGAGAGGAATGACTGCAGAAGGAATTCGCAGAAGGGCAGTAGCTACTGGGCTTTGCTGAAACACCCTAAAATAATAAAGTGTCCAAAATGATGTCCAGATAAATAGAATAAAATAATAGTCCACCAAAAGTATCTCAATCCAGTGTGTCCAACTTTTAATTCTCCATTCCGAACCCCGTGATACTCCAAAAAAATATAAACTATAATAGTGTATTATCTTCCAAATAAGTGTATATACCTTAAAACATATAAGTATATACTAAATAAGTGCACAATATAACAATGTGCACAAAAATATACTCAGATTCAACTGTGGGTGACACGTGAATCATGCAAAAATCATTCTGTGTACACTCCAACAATAAGTGAAAAATAGTGTACACTCACAGCAACAACAGAGACGAAAAAAAAAAAAATTGTATAAATAAATAAAATCAAATAAAATAAAGTGAGAAAAATCAATAAATAGAGTGAGCACTCCGTGACCACCTCAGATAGTGAGATTGAATGCAATTACCCTCAGGGAGTAATATCAAACTTAACAGGATGTTCTTGGAGTAAATAGCGGACATTTTGGACATTTTATTATTTTATATTCTATTTTTATTTGATATTATTTTTGGTTTTCTATTTATGTATTAATTTTGGATTTTTCTATATGGGTGTTTGAGTATTAGTGAAAGAAAAGGTTTTATTATTATTATTATGATGATTATATTGAGAGTTTTACTTATACTCAGTTTTAATTTTATATTAAGTCCGTATTACTATAATAAAATGCAATGTTTTTTTAGGAACCTTTGTATACTTCTACCATCAGAAGTAAATGCACCAAGCACCGCAAACAAAGAATAGGGTCACAATTGTATATAAAAGGGAATTGTGAGTGGTCATTTGTATGTTATTAGTATAGGGACAAGCCACGGGAAAAAAAGCACATTTTCATTTCTGTTTCTCTTGTAATTCTCCTTCAAATTACACAAATATTACTAAATAATTTACAACATTCCAAAATAAAAATAAAAAAAAAAAAAAAAAAGTGCACACATTACCTTGGCCAACTCATAGAGTTTAGCTGCTTCCTCGAACAAGCCCTTTTCTTCTGCCACAGAAGCAACTTCACTAATAATTGGTTTTGTGTCTCTTGTAAATTTATCAATTGCACCAGGCTGTCAAAACAAAACATCATACAAAAAAAAAAAAAAATAATATGTAGAACTGTTAAAATTCTGCTAAACATTATGTTTGACATATTTATAAGAAAATGCACATGCAAAGCAATGTGGTCAGGAACAAGTAGCATAAATGTGTATGATGCACAATGAGACTTTCCGCAGGTGAACTAGATCTTTTGGAAAGTTAGCAGTTGATTCCAGCAAAATAAATACAAATCATGTTAGTTTGTGCAGCCGCGAGGTAAATTAGCGGGTTTTTTTTAAGGTGTGGGATTTATGCAGCGATTTACCTTTCTAGTGCCATCATTCTCTAGTTTTCCCAGAAGCATATCAAACTGCAAAATAAAGCAAAACAATTCAGGATTTTGTTACAGACATTAAATTACATTCAGTCACTAAAAAAGGGAACATGGGTACCTCACGGCTCTCGATCACCAGTTCGCTGACACATCTCAGGAACATGTTCTTGTCTTGATTGTCCTTCTCATTTCTACAAGATAGGAGTTCACTTATCAAAATGAAAGCCAGTCTACGGATATAGAACACTTATTCTTGTTCAAATCTACAAAATGTGGCTGGATATTCACTTTATCCGTTAAATAGTGAGTACTTTAGCTCTGAAGGGAAGGGGCTTAATGCTGAAGTTTAATCATTGTATATTTTACTATCCCTGTTTCCGCCCTTCTCCCTTAAAATGACAGACACAGACACATATATAATGGATAAGACAATAAAACCAATGGCTATATGAGATCTGGACCCATCACATTTGCAAGACATTCTAACACAAGTGACTGTTGAGGCGAGTCCGGCAGCACAGGTATTCAGATAGCTCTATGCATAAACTTTCCTAACAACCTGTATCTTTGAGCAACTGATCAGTTAGCAAGAGCATGATAATCACACATCCCTTGATTGTCTATTAACAATAATGAGCTGATGGCAATATTGAAAAGTGCAAACAATCACTGCTATCGTTTATGAAATTAAATCTCTAGCCAAAATATTTTTCTAATTTTGAGTAAAAGTAGAGAGTAGTAAGTATCCCTGTCTTGCTTTTTTCGTTGATGCCTGTGTCTCCTTAGGAAGATGTGCCCCCACTTCCTGTCCTGGAGACTCAACAAGAAAGGAGAGAATATATCCCTTAAGTGAGACAAAATCCCTCTCAACAGCTATCACCAGAACAGGTGCCCCCAAATGAAAATATCAATACACTACAGATTTATGTGATATTTACCACAAAAATAAATTCTTGGTAAAATGCTGCATAAACCTTTCTAAATTCAATTTACAAAAACAAGTAAATACATTCGTTAAATAAGATGTGGCCTAACGAAGACTAATATTTAATGAACATATACAATTACCAGCTGGTTGTTAAGAAGCTGGCAACGACCAAGTCCTTAACAGCCAGCGACTCATTTGCTGTCAGCAGGGATTTCCTGCTGATGTCAGAACATAATCAAAAGCCGAGAATAAAAAAAAAAAAAAAAGTGCATTTTCCACCACAATCCATACCAGGCTCCCCCTCTTCCATGTTGGTGAGGACAAGGGGAGGTAACTAATTGGAATCTGGAAACCCCCGTTATCAAGGCCCCCAGATCTGGCTCAACCCAAGAAATTTGAAAAAAAGTCTTTTTTTTTTTTTTTTTTTTTTAAATAAATAAACACCCCCGTCTACATCCATCACCAATCGCTGGGATCTGGGGGTTTCCAAATTGTGATAAGTCAGCCCCCCCCGCACTCATCAAACCAGGGTTGTGGGGGAAGAGGCCCTTGTCCTCATCAACATGGGAACATGCAAGGGGTGCCAACTCCTTAACAACCAGCAGCCCTGAACTGAACTGTCACATTTAGAAATGGTAGGAATAAATGTTTCACTTCCTGCTGCAGCTGAAGAATCAGTCTGCATTAAAATAAGGTGCAAAAACATTGTTAAATATTGCAAAATAAAACATTTAATTCATGCAGTATTCAACATGCGCATGTTACGGAGTTGAATACCGCATGATTTATTTTAAAGCAAATACTCCGGCAGTAGTGACTGGAGCCCTTGCTATGCAAGACAAATTTCACAGGGGTTCCAATCCTTCCCTATACTATCCAAAAGATTGGGCTAGATTACCAATTAGATTACCATTTAACAATTCAAAGCCTGAAACTAAGTGTAAACCATTATGATTCACGTGAAAGTTTAAATACAAAAAAAAAAAAATTCCACCAGGTTGTAGGCCTTCCTAGTTTGAATTAAAAAGTTATTCTGCTTACCTGAGAAAGTAAAAATACTGTAGGGCTTCTCGTGGATCAGTGGGCTCAAACTTCCGAGTGTACAGCATGAGGAGGCGGACAAAATTTAGTCGCCGAATACCGACAGGGTCCCCTGCTTCCTGACTCACTACACAGAAACAAACATGTGAACAAACATTATTAATGTAACTATTAAAATGCTACAAAAAGGAATATATTTGAAATTACAGCTCATCTCTATATCAGACCTGGTTATAAGATAATTTACTAAATAAAAGGTGATATATATATATATATTTATATATATATATATATTTTTTTTTTTATATTAAAATAAAAGAGAGGTAATGACCACTAGCCATCAGTCATGTTTAAGTGTACAGTTCTGCAGACACAATGTTAAATGTTCGTGAAAAATGAGAAGAAATGTGTAGCACAGGACATATTTAGGGCAGTAAAGAATAGAAGATGCTTGGGGGGTGGTGTAAGGTACGTGTGGAGGTTTGAGAGTTTTGCTTTGTTTTTTTTAAATCAGTTTCATTGAAAGAGGAATGTGTCACTCAAAAGTAATCATACTGTGGCGGATAATAGAAAGATGTTGTGCAGTAAAAGCTCTTTTACTGCATAACTTCATAATTATTCTATAATGCTCCCCATGCTGTTAGCTTTGGTCAATAACTACTATAAATGTAATCATTTTATAAAGTCTGACAATTTCTGTAAAACGTCTTCTATTGATTTATTATAGCTAAAGACATAAAACTGGTAAAGCTGTTTTACTGTTGAATGAAAGGTAACAAGGAGGGAACAGGGAACTTCATATGTACAGCATTAAAAAACACCACATCTTACAAGCCGAATATTTTGCCCCCTGGTTAGTTTAAGCTAGGCTGACCTGGGGTATTTACTCATAGTCTTCATAGCCTCTGAAATTTAGCTGGATTAGCCACACATTGGCAAATTATTTTTTTTACCTAGACAGTGGAATTGTCCCAATGATCCTATTCTTTACTTAATGGTCGACGGCAGTGCTAAAGTATCAGCTTGTGGGTTATTAAGAGTGCACTAGTAATCACTTCAGTCTGCTGTGTCCCCAGCTGCAGATCACCTACATATCCCAATGTGCAAACCAACAGGTCAAAGTAATTACAAACAGAAAAATACTTGAGCCAGAATTTGTAAAATTTACGCCATCAGCTATATAATGTAGACAGATTTAAAATTAGAATTCAAGGTTGACTTTGAATTTAAAACACCCTTACCGACACGAACTGTACTATATTGTGGTAGCATCAGCTACATATAAGTGTCGAGAGTTCCACAGCAATACAGCCTTGGCTAGTCTGCTAGTCTGAATATTTCTCGGTCATTCAGAAGCCTTGTATTTTTAAAAATCACTGAATACAAGGCTTCAGCTGACTGGCCGAGGTAGGAATTATGACATCTGTCCCCCTTGGCCAATGGGAGAAAGCCTTATAACCACTGATAATGATAAAAGGCTTCTCCTCAATGGCCGAGAAGCATTCAGGCCGACTCAATTTAGTCCTGGCAGTATATGTGTAATTGCCCGTACTACTGCTGAAACACAGTGCAGCTTACTGTATGCAGCCAACACTACTACAATATACTGTAGTAAAGTGCACATGGTGGCCACATCTGTTAGCAATGAAAATCATTATTTGGGCTGATTTGGCCCAAACTAAAGTCAAAGTAAACTTGTAATTCTACTGAATAGAATTGTTACATAAGACTTGATTGGTCTTCTTTACCCACTCACTCACTCGTACCATGGAAGTGCAAGCACTGTGTGATATAACAGGATGTACTGTACAAGTTAGGATGGTAATAACTCTGTCAAGTTTTTATTGTATAAACTGTAAATGAGGCAAACGCTTTTCTTTTTTTACTATGCAAAGTTTGTTATCACTTGCTCAACGGTACCCGCACTATAAGAATGGGGATTTTGCCATGCAATCTACTCTGAAAACCTTTAATAAAAACTGACTGAAATATAAAGTAGATGTCTAAAATAAATACCCTGCCAACTAATGGTCAGTGTGATCCCCAACTAGGAACCAGAAAACAAAAATATCACCCTTTGAATTGCATTGTTACTAACTCAACAGTTTTGCAGAACATCAAGTTTGCTCATTGCCAGGCAGAAAAGTGAAAATCTGTCCTGGCGACAAACTGTGGAGAGATGAATAGATAGCTGTTGAAGCTATAAGAGGTGAAAAAAAAACAAAAATAACAGAAAGAAGGTAGAAACTTATTATCAAGAAGATCAGAACCTTTCTCCCATCAGACATCACATCATGAGTACTCACATAACTGTGCACTCTGTCCCGAAGATTTTAATAGTAGTCTGAGTTCAAAGAGAGCCAAAGCGACATGAACAGCATGACACCGAGTCCGTTCCAAGCGGAACAAATAGGCAATGGCAGCTTCAAACTGAGCAGTCAGAAAAAGAACTTGGAAATATAGGAATGGCTGCTGGTTCAATGCAAAGTGAGACTCGCCTGGGAAATGAGAAAAAAGAAATGTAACCTGTTTTACAACCCAAAGTAAAAAGAGATACAAAATTCATATTTACCATAATCTTCAAGAAGCTGTTTCTGGAATTGTGGTAACGTCAGTCTGTCTTGAGCTGAGCTGCTGGAGTCATCATCAAAGCAAATTTGATTCAACTAGATAAAACACAGACTGATCAGCTAAAAGGAACTGCTGTATACAATATCTACAGCTCCAAGTAGGCAGGTAATAACTATGACTACACGTACACAGGTAAGTAACCATAGCTCTGCACACACAGGTAAAACTACAGCTCTGTGCTACCATGGTCAACTCCTAAAACAAAGAATGTTCAAGCTGATTGTTAATCCACACTAAAGCAGAACTTTACCCATAACAAGCTTGCTAAAAATTATGTTCTTTAGCAAGGAACATTCATTCCACATTAATAATTATGCTACCAAAATTGGTGTGTGCTACAAATTGCATCCAGCATTGCTCCTGTTTCTTCGTGTTGGAGGCAGCCATTTTGTTGAAGCCCATAGCATTCACTTCCTTATTGAGAACTCTCACCCTCTCAGTCTAAAAAACTATATGTCACTTTCTGCAATTAAAATATATACATTTCCAACCTTGACTGTATGTCTTAGCTCAGCTAGAGAGGAAGGCTATGGTAGCTGACAGTGCTCAGGTTCCCAGCTGCTGGTGAAAGAGAGAGAATATCAGGAAGAAAAGATAAGACACTGCCCTTGTAAGTTTGGCTCTTTTGTGCATCCCTGGCAGCAGAGTTTGTCCTGTCACCTCTCCTGCTTTTCTTTTATCCCTCTCCTCAAGCTGTCCTCCATTGACACAGTCTGTCATTCCCATTGTTCCTTTCCCACTCAGCAGCAATAAATCTTTAGGATGTCAGCTGATCGGGCTCTAGTAACTCACTGATTATCAGCCTAGTGTCGAGAATATAGGACAACTGAAGTTGTGCAGAACCGGATGAGACAAGGCCTTACTAGATTATCAAAATGAGCACTTATTTTTAAATGTTCTACACAGCTATACCTGTAAATTAGGTCAGCATGAAGTGATCAGGACTTACATTTTCAGACTAAAGTTCCACTTTAAGTTTGCAAAAATGTTATTTTGTTTACGATAGCATTGCTATATAAACTACTATATAAATAATTTTTTATGATCTAGTTAACAAAATGTAATGAGTTACCCACTTTAAACAGTGCTATTTAGAATCACACAGTGGATATTAAAAAGAATCACCCCCCCCCCCCCCCCCCTTTCAAATAATCACATTTTGTTGCTTCCAGGAGGTGGAATACAAGTCACTTCCTGTTTCGGCAGCTATCTTTACCCCCAAACAAGTTGTACATAGGCACTGTTACAAGCGAGTGGATTCTTGTCTTTTTATCCTTTCAATAAACAATGATTTTACACTATGAGATCTTCTCCTTTTCACCCTTCTTTCTGAGTGAACCTCTGACATCTATGGAAGATCATCTGGAACACACAAGCTGCGGTGAAAGCATATGGGGATGCCCCACAGGCAATACTGACCTAACTAGAGATAGCTGGTTCATTACCTGCTAGGAGTGTTAGTCCATGTGGGGCACTAAAGAACTTAGGAGTGAAGCAATGTCTTACGTCCACAGCAGCACAAGAACTATTATCACATTGGGACATTGGGACTGTTCATTGGGTTGGACTTTGATCTTATTTCAGATTTTGCTCTTAATATTTAATGAATGCATTATGTTACGTGGTCACAGGTTTTTTTTTCAGGAGTGACATGCGCGGTCTGCATTTATATCTCAGTATCCACAGAGTAATGGCACTGGCTACCGAAAACCTATCCTAGATGATCATAAAGCTACCTACAGAAAGGTAAACGGTATCCTGATTAGAAGAGCTGCTCCACAATGTGTACAATTTAAACGGTCTATTAAAGTTCCAACTCAAATTTTTACCTCTCTTCTTCCAACCTATGTCGACAGCCTTTTTTGCCCCCTTACTCATAGGAGGTCCTCTTATAGCTATTAGTTCCAGTGACGAACAAGGCTAACCAAAAGCAAATCGCAACTCGAGGCCACAGGTCCCCTACTGTGCCCCTGTAATATCAACAGTCTTCTCTCTCTCTCTACCCCACTGGTGGCCATGCAATAGGAAGTGTCCAAGTCACACAGGCAGTAAAGAAGGACTCCAAGCAGGAAGTAAAACGGAAGAGGAGATTACTTGGGGCTGCAGTGTCACATGACCGTGGTTTAAATTAAGTAAACAATTTTGATATGGATTTTGACTGATACACTGAAGTGTGGCTTTAAAGCAATTACATCAGATATTCCTCAATAGAAAGAACATGAACTGGACAGCTGGGAAACTTTGGACAATTTTATATTGATCTCTGCTGACAAAGCTCCACGCATTTACAATGAGCGTATACTTTACACATAAAAAGTACAGCAACAACTTAATTTAAAGCCCTCCTGCCCACTAGAATATACTCATCTTTCTGTTACTACTGTTCTGCACGTTTCAGCCATGAGAAGTAAATTATGCAGCTTACACAGGTCTGAGGATTCTTGACACCCCCATGTGAAAGAGCAGGCTGGAAAGATGAGTAAGTGCTGCTTAGAAGAGCGGTTTAAAAGAAGAATCTGTTCCTTTTACAGCCGAGTTTAAAATGTTTGATCATTCCACCAGTAATATCTTGAATATAGGCACTGAAAGCTCACATATGCACATTAGAATAAAAATGAAAGAAGTAGTTCTGCAGCCATTCACCTTCAGCCATAGGTAGTCTTCTGTTTTATCTGCTACTTCACTATGATTATCTGCTACGTCACATCGGCCAATTATACAGTATACTGCCCTCTTATAAGGGTCTGTGCTCGATCTTACAGCTCTTCTGTAATGGAGACGAAGTTTGTTCTCTGTTCCTGGGGAGTAACCTATAAAACAAGAAGCCTTATACTGGTAAATTTGTCACTTTTTTAAAAAAACTATTCTGTTTCAAATCCATTTACAGACTTAAGCAAGGACTATAAGGGAGTCAAATGAGCCTCTGCTGTAAGGGCCTATTCACACTTGTGGACTTTTACTTTATGTATTTTCTAGTGGTGCACCCAAATGAAAATTCTGGTGCCGAAACCAAAAATTCAAACCGAAACCGAAAACCGAAATGTGCAGTTTAAATAAATAAATATATATATACCCCAATTGTTTTGTAAAATATGAAGAAAGAGGATGTTATGGCAAGTAAATAGATATCCAACATGTCACGCTTTAATACTGCGCACACTCGTGGAATGGCGTGAAACTGTGGTACTTAATCTCCATGGGTGATGCTTTAAAAATGTCTACAGGTTAATAGTGTAAAGTTACAGAGATCTACTGCGAGAATTATTGCTCTAACGTTCGTGGAGATACCTCACGTGGGTGGTTTGAAAACCGTTTACATATGTGGGCAAGGCCTACGTATGCGTTCACTACTACGTGCGAGCACGGGGAGACAGGGGCACTTTAAAAAATTTTTTATTTTTTTTGCACTGTTCCATTAAAGAAAAAATTTTAATCACTTTTATTCTTATCACAAGAAATGCATGCATCCCTTGATAGAAATAATTAGTGACAGGTCCTCTTTATGGAGAGGTGTGGGGTCAATAAGACCCCACATCTCTCCTCTGCAATGTAAAGCATTAGATCAAACAAAGCATCGATCTAGTGCAGGGGTGGGCAACTGTCGCCCTCCAGCTGAAGTACAAGTCCCATCAGGCCTCTGCCTTGCTTGTAACTGTCAGTTTTTCAATGCCTCATGAGACTTGTAGTTCTACAACAGCTGGAGGGCCACAGTTGCCCAGCCCTGATCTAGTGCTTTAAAAAAAAAAAAATAGCAAAGACTGGAAGTCACATGGCTTCAATTCTCCAAGGGCATAGAGATGAGTGGAGGCCATCTTCACTAATCTCTATGCCCAGCGCTGGGATTGTTTGATGGTTTCTCAGGTAAGGCTGAGAACTACCAAGCGGCGGCCGTGGCGGGCGGGGGCAATGTTTTTTCGGCACCTGTACTGATGCTTTTTTTCATATCGGCCGAAAGGGGTGTTTTCGGCCAAAATGTTTCGGCCACCGAAATTTCAGTGCATTCCTAGTATTTTTCATTGAAATTAACAGCGTAATGTGCATCATTGTGTGCACTGCACTGGAGTTTGCACTGCAAGGCATGTTTTGATTTTTCACTTTTAGGTTCCATACATACAGGGCATTTTAATAACGCTAGCGTTAGCTGTGTAAAGTAACGTTAAAAAAAAACGTGCGTCTTCCGGCGGTATTTATTTTAACTAAAAAAAAGTCCAAAAGCCATGTTTTTACAGCATTTTTCAGCGTTAGAGCGTTTTCACAGCTAAACAGCTATGTGTATGTACATATCGGATAACATGCTGGGAAGTTTACTGGCAGTAGGAAAAAAAAAAAACCGCCAAAAGCCAAAAACAGCAGCTGAAAAAATATCCAGTGTGCATGAGGACTTAAATTTAATAGAAAATGCATCTGTGGAAAACAGCCAAGTGTAAATGGACCATAAATTTTACAAAAAAACCCCAAAGATTCCAATTACTCTCAGAAATAGCACAAAAGACTGAAAGCCGTATTCCATTACCTTCGATCATTGTGTACGTATTCTTGGAACCAATTCTTGAACTCCCCCAGCTGATGCTGCAATCTGTTTACCACCTGCTGAGCTGCTGAGATATCACCACAGCGCAAGCAGTAGTAGATGAGTGCCCAAACTGGATAACCCTCCAGCTCTCCATCCTGGAGGCGTAAGAAAAGAATGAGAATCATGCACTGCACAGACACACAACATAAGCAATCCAGAGGGAGTGTGATTTACCCACCTGCAGCCCAGGTATTGGAGCTGGCAGTCTGATATTAAGGAAGCTTCGTACTAGATTAAAAGTGGAAGGAATTCCTCCCAGCTGGGCCTGTTGTAGGTTAGCATACACACTCTTCATAGTGTAATCCCGGTAACTACAAATTGCAAATGACAAAGATAAGCAGTAGTACAACAAAGACCGAAGATGCTATTGAACTCCTTTGGAAAAAGTTGGATGCTTGGCCACCGAATTTGCTTGTGAAGTAAGAACGCATACTTTTTCTGAGACAGCGACTGAATATATTAAAGTAGCATACCAACAACTAGTTCTAAAGCACAAATCCACTTTTAGTGAGGGTACCGTTTGTAAACCCACCGTAAATGACTTGCTATGTAAAATACTTGCCTTGCTCTTCACTGTGTGGTGCCACAAGATTTTCTAGTGATATGGCCTTGCTGAGCAGTTTTTAAAATGAGCATGTGCGCCAGGGCCCCATTCATTCCTATGAGTAAGCCATTTTCCAGCCATCCAATGAAGGATCACACAGCAAAAATCGTTGGAATGGGAAGCAAAGTAGGTGACTGCTAAAACCTGTGACAGCTTTTCTTTTGCCTTCTGTGTCCAATTGGTGAGAGTAGAAAACAGGGTGATAAGCCAAAGTGAGAGAAAACCCTTTCAACTGACAGTTGTCATCACAGGTACAACCCCTGCCAAAAAGTATGGAATCACCACTCTTGGAAAATGTTCAATTGTTTAATTGTGCAAAAAAAAAAAAAAAAAACCTAATCACAGACATGCCTCAAAACTATTTTCATTTAACATTCTAACCTTCAGGCTTTAAGAAAAACACTAAAAAAATCAAAATGAAAAGAAAACTGTAGTCAGTTGCAATGTTTTTGCAGATCAAGCAGAGGAAAAAAATATGAAATCACTCAATTCTGAGGAAAATATTATGGAATCATGAAAAACAAAACAAAACAAAAAAACAAAAAAAAAAAAACACTACAGTACACCACTAATACTTTGTTGCACCACCTCTGGCTTTTATAAGCTGCTTGAATTCTCTGAGGCATGGATTTAACTATCGACAAACAGTATTCTTCATCAATCCAGCTCCAAACTTTCTCTTATAGCAGTTGCCAGATGAGATTTGCAGGTTGGAGCCTTGTTATGGACCATATTCATTTCCATCATAGATTTTCAATTGGACTGAGGTCCAGACTTTTGGCAGGCCATGCCATTGACATTATATGTGTTTCTTGAAGGAAAGCTTTCACAGCTTTTGCCCTATGGCAAGATGCATTGTCCTGAAAAATGATGTCATCATCACCAAACATCCTTTCAATTGATGGAATAAGAAAGGTGTTCAAAATCTCAATATATACTTGTGCACTTATGGAAAATTTAATGACTCATCTCCCCCGTGCCTTTACCTGTCCTGCAACCCCATAACATCAATGATTGGGGAAATTTGCATGTTTTCTACAGGCAGGAGTCTTTACACATTTCATTGGAATGGCACCAAAACAAATGTTCAAGGATCATCACCCTGCCCAATGCAGATTTGTGATTCATCACTGAATATCACTTCCATCCAGTCATCCACAGTCCATGATTGCTTTTCTTTAGCCCACTATAACCTTGTTTTTATTCTTAGTTTAGGTGTTAATGATGGTTTTCGTTTGGCTTTTCTGTATGTAAATCCCATTTCCTTTATGCAATGTCTTACAGTTCAGTCACAGACATTGACTTCAGTTTTGCCTATTTGTTCTTCATTTTTTTTGTTGTGCATTTTCTTTTTTCAAGGCATATTGCTTTAAGTTTTCTATCTTAACACTTTGATGTCTTCCTTGGTCTACCAGTACACTTCCCTTTTTCAACCTTCCCATTTGATTTGTACTTGGTCCAGATTTTAAAACACAGCTGACTGGAAACCACCAACATCTTTTGCAACATTCCGGGATGATTTACCTTCATGAAGAAGTTTTATAATCCTCTCATTTGTTTCAACTGACATCTCTGGTGATGGAGCCATGATTCATGTCAATCAACTTGGTGCAACAGCTCACCAAGGTGTGAAAGCACTCTTTAACTGCAGACTAATTAGCAGATGTAACCTGATGCAGATGGTTGCTTTAGAATTGCAAAGTATATGGCGATTCCGTAATATATTCCTCAGAATTGAGCAATTCCATATTTTCCTCTGCTTGATCTGCAAAAACAGTTGCACTTGACTAGTTTTATTCTTTATTTTTAAGTGTTTCTTAAAACCAGAAGGTTGGAATGTTAAATGAAAATAGTTTTGAGGCATGTCTGTGATTGTTTTTTCTTTTCTACACAATTAAATGAACATTTTCCAAGAGTGGTGATTCCATATTTTTTGCCAGGGGTTGTATCCCTATTGGACGATTTCCCCTAAATTCTTGGTCAACAACAATGCAATATGATAAAAAAAAAAAAAAAAAAAAAAAAATTCCCTCACTTTTAGTCTTAGTGACAATAGCCAACAGGACGAACATTGAAAGCGAACCTTCTTGGCAGAGGTAGCAAATTAATGCTGAAACAGGTTCCAACCCTTCCTGCTCAATCCAAAACGTAATTTTAAAAAAAAAGAAAAAAAAAAGAAAAATTTTAGCTTTATATACACTCTAAAGTTAGCAACTTCAGCCTGTCTGTAATTATTTTTAGGAATTAATTTTCTTTAAAGAAAACAGAAATCAAAACAGCACTTAAATTATCTGGCAAATGAATGGATAAAATAGTGAACCTTTTGTCCCTAGGTTATCAAAAAAACACTGGCCCCAAAAAGCATTAGGAGTTCAGTATGGCTAATGCTAATAAGCTGCAGAAAGCCCACTCAGTGGTATCTATTGAATGCATCGATCTGTCTTGGATAGCTCTATCAGAAATGGCTGATTAAAAAAAAACAAACAAATACGTACCTATCCTCTAAGAATTTTAACGCCTGCCTCACAAATTCCATCTGCATCTGGACTGAGCAACGACTTTTCAGAGTATCTGTGGCAGGAACTAGCAAGACATCTGTCATCTGCTTCACCATCAACCAAACATCAGATACATTCTGTACAGTGAGCCGGAGAAAGCACAAGTGAAAATAAGATTAGAACATTAGCAGTTTACAATGTGAAATAAAAAGTCATCTTTGGCTTAACTACCACCACTGATCTTTGCAGTACCTTAAACAAAAACGTTTGAAATAATAAAATGTCAAAAAATATAGGGCAGCACAATGGCTAAATGGTTAGCACTTCTGCCTGGCAGTACCAAGTTCATTGGTTAGAATCCCAGCCACGGCACCACCTGCCTGGAATTTGCATGTTCTCCCTGTGCCTGCATGGGTTTCCTTCCACACTACAAAGACAAGCTGCTGGTACGTTAATTGGCTCCTGTCTAAATTGTCCCTAGTATATGTATGTATGAATGTGAGTTAGGGACCTTAGATTGTATGCCCCTGGAGGGTTAGGGACTGATGTAAATGTATAATATATATGTAAAAGCGCTGCGTAAATTGACGGCGCTATATAAGTACCTGTGGATTAACCCTTTAGGTTCCACAGTGAGTATAACAAGCATGCTTTACTGCATATACAGAATGATTTTACTGTTGTGGGTTTAGTAACACTTTAATGGAACTAAAAGGTTACCTTTCCATCAAAACCAGAAACGTTACTCCTTATACCAATGATTCTGGGGTCATTCTGTGTGAGTGAATGCCCCACACTCTAACATAACTTTGTGCCCATGATTGGCTCACTGCTTTCCACCAGCATTGCTTTTTCTGACACAGGACCATGATCATGTGGTAATAGGCATATAAAATTGCTATACAACCCATATTATACATTGTTAAAAAATATTTTTTTGCTTTTAATTTGTAGGCACTGTAATTTTCTGTAAAATTGAATGCAATACACCAGCGGCGTGCAGAAAGCCCCCTTGCTGGTGTGATTGGTTCATGGACTCACCTAGAAGTCTGCACTAAGACATAAGTCCAATTTTAGGCCCCTTGCAATAGGAATTTCAGTTTTGTTTAAGGGATGCAGATACTGCAGCTTTTCACATTAAAAACACTGAGTGTTGAAATATCGAGCCAAAACTAAACAGAATTCCGACCTGGGAGTCATTGAGGAGGCAGATTTTGATGGAATTTTAGATAAATTACAAGCTGGTTTCCCCTAAAGTACCTGATGGGTTAACCCAGATGTACAATCTTCATAGGGCTTACCTGACTCCAGTTTAGTCTCCCACTATAAACCATCCCAAAGCCCAATATGCACCCCGAGTTCAAGCATGGGTACTTTACACCACCTTATGTGTGCCCAGTTGTACAGACCCTTTGGACTCAAGTACTTCGATTTCCGCACGGTAAAATGGGCTCTCCTTTGTCCATTGACCCAAAACCCATGCCTGCTTCGTCTTCCCTCTCACCCTGATACCGATAGGTTTCTAACCATATTCCTTCATGAATCTCCCTTCAGTGCATGCAAAGTGATTGCAAAGAACTGGAGGCAGGTAACCCCACCTATGTTCAAACTAAGGGTCCTAGAGGTTAATCTTACCCCCTTATAAAACGTTCGTTTACTTACACAGAGGGTGACCCGCTAAATATAACAAAATCTGGGATAGATGGTTAGCGCAACCAGCCACATGTATTTAAGGCAACTTTCCTGTGTATTTGCAGAATTCATCTTATTTAATGCTGTGAATAATTAAATGCTCCACTTTGTGGGCCATTGGTAATTGCTGAAAAGCCTATTACTTATCAGCTATTCCCTTGCAACATTTCCTTCATTGGCAGCCCAGAGGGAGGCTACAAAATGTTTAGTTGTTACATGTTTATGGTTTTTATACACACATACTGTTTCTGTAGGCAGTACGTTCGGTTTCTTGAAAACCTTTTTTTTTTAAATGATTTTCTGCTTAGGGACGTCTTTCCCTTTGACACCGCTTCAATTTTACTTTTATGTAATAGCCATTGCCATATTATGCACTTATATCTAACAGTTGTTCCATGTTGTCCTTGTAATGATCTCAATAAAGTTGTCTTTTTTACATGAAAAAACATTGAGTGCACCAGCTGATTATAATGAACCAGATCCTCCCCTCCCATTCAGAATCAGTTAGCAGAAGGATTTGGTCAAACAGCTATTTCTTCTGAACAAAAACAGGTAGGAATCTGCTACAAAGAATGTTAAAATCCAACCAATATACTGTACATTCATCACCCAATAGGGGATTGTTTTTCCTTAACAAAATTAGAGTTTAAAGGCACTGTAACAAAGAAAAAAGAAAAGAAAAAAAGTTCACAATAATTGGGGAGATTGCCGAGACAAGGAGGAAGACATAGGAAATGTAAAGTGTGATTAGGTAGACAGTAGCTGTAGGAGATGTATTATTAACCACTTCCTGTCCGGACACTTTTACCCCCTTCCTGTCCAGGGCAATTTTCAGCGCTATCACACTTTGAATGACAATTGCGCGGTCATGCAATACTGTACCCATATGAATTTGTTACCATTTTTTTGAGACAGATAAAGCTTTATTTTGGTGGTATTTATTCACTGCTGGGATTTTTATTTTTTTTTACTATGTAAATGAAAAAGTCCAAAAATTTTGAAAAAAAGTGTTTTTTTAATAACATTTTGCAAATAAATAATATTTCATCATAAAACTTGACCAAAATTGATTCCGTTATTTGTTTAGTAAAAAAAAAAAAAAATCCAAATTAGTTTTTACACTGTACTACTTGTGGGGGGTGATAAAGATTTTTTTTTTTTTTTTTTTTTTACACTGATTGCTTTTACACTCATATAGGATGTAAAAGCAATCATTTCTCTCTCTCTCTGTCTGCATTCTTGCAGTCATTGAGAAGTACTGAGTGAGCTGTGATTGGTCACAGCTTGTCACATGGTACAAGGCTGTTGTGAATAGCCTTGTACCATGTGACCTCTGTGATCATTCACAGATTTCACACGTAGTAAGCAATGACATCTTGCTTACTACTTTGCATGTGATCACTGATTCGGCAATCAGTGATCACATGATCGGGACCTCGAACAGAGGTCCCGTCCGACGATCGGTGTTTCACTGTGTCCGGAGGACACAGCGGGCACCGGATAGCGGTGCTGCGCGCTCCCAGGGAGCGCGCACAGCTAGAAAAGGCGGGTGCCGTTTATGAACGGCAACCGGCCCCTGGAGTGCCACCGCCCCTCTGGAGTGCCACCGCCCTGCTGTTTATTAACAGCAGGCGGACGGCAAGAGGTTAAAGCACAATACACTCCCTCCAGCGGTCTACATGAGAAGTCCACTTGTGACCTGTATGAAAGCACACAACCGCTCATTAAGCTTTATATGGTCACTGCAATCCTTTTAAACTACTGTACATTGTTGATTTATGCTCCATATAGCACAGTTCTGAACTCTGAGGTGAAGATGCTCTTGAAGAGTCTTACCTTGTCATCTAATTTCTCAGCAACAGCTGTGAACAAATCCACCAGACTGGGCTGCAGGTTTCCACTCACAACCTTCTCATTGTACACATAAATCTGCACGGAGCAAAAACAATAACATAATACAATGCTAATTATTCAAAGGATATCAAAACCCAAGCAAAAATTATATGGTAGATAAACAGTCTTTATATGTGGGGGCTGCATTAGTTTTAATTTTTCAGGCATGTACAGAAAATACCTGCTGATATTGCCAGACCTTGTCACTTTATGTTAGCTGAACTGAAATTTTTATTCTATGCTGTAAACTACTAATCAGGGCGCAGCAAAATCATTGAAGATTTTTAACCCTAATGCATTAAGGCAAAATATGTCTTTATAAACACTTTATTATTTTCTTAGTCATTGACTGGAAACAAGCATGCAGCAGGTTAACAGGAACCTAGCATTTCAAAATAACAGTGACAAAGAGCAATAGCTTTCGGATCCTGCAATTACCTTTGTAATTCATTTAGTCAACCCCTATGCTGTCCATGCCCTATGCTGTACATGGGTCCTAAGCTTCCGTTATGCTGCTGATTAATTTGTCACATGCCAAAACGTTAGTGGGCAGTTTCCACCCTGTAATATATTTCCATTTTGTTCAAACTACAATGTCCTTCCATTTTCCACTATTCTGCTTTACCTGTCGTGCATATGCCATTTCCACACTATCGAGGGAACTGCGACCAGGAGGTCCAAGCTCACTGATGTAACTGGTCTACAGATAGAAGAAAGTCACAAAAGTTACACATATGTTTTATCATGTAGGCAGGGTCAATTTCTGGAATGATATTGAAAACACAAACCTCTGCTTCCTGAGAAAAGCCTAAATCATCCTCTCCAGATGCAAGCAGGGTGTGGAGGATCCTCTGTTTCACTTGTTCCCACTCCACAAGCATCGACTCCCTGTGGTATTCCTCTGCCATGGCAAATGTCTATAGTACAAGCAGATACATCTGACATCGCTTCATCTATGCAAAGCTTAAGAAAACGGCAATCATTTTATTGCTGCATATATATCAGTCTCTTGTTTTAGAAATATACTCACTTTTCTCCTAGATTCTTCAATTGCTGCAAAGAGTGCATTGTCTTTTTCATTTTTGAGGAATCCCTGAAATATAAACAAGAAATGAGAAACTGACCAAAAACAAACCAGGGCAGCATTGCCACCAAAATAGATTTCTATACAGCTGGTGACAACAAACAGCTCAGCCTAACACCCAAATTCATTCCTGGTCATATATGCAACCAGGCACATTTGCAGGCATCATGGAAAGCCCAATAAAGAAAGAGAAGCTTGCAACATTTCACAGACCATACACAACTTCTTTTCTTGTTTTAAATGCAAGAAGCCTGGCAGAAATGCGTGTGCCTCGCACTGGAAATGCATCATCACCTGGTGATGGAATGGAGCCAGCACCACTTTGATCCTCCCCAGCAACCCACAATATAGCAGATGCCACACCATCAAGAATTCTTGGGGAGAGACCCACTAGGAGAAACTGATGACCACTACACACTTCCCAGTGCAATTCCCACCTACCCATTAGCAGAAGGGACAGCCAAAGCATTGGCCTGCCAGAGTTGCCTGCATACAGCCAAGTGAAAAGGTCCAGCACATATCACAGGGAAAAGTAGAGGTAAGAAAAATGACCATAACTGCAGGCATACCTGGACACCGTTACATGAGGGGGGCCTGAAAACCACAATCATCAGAGACAGGGATAACAAATAAAACATTACGTAATGTAATCCTGGACAGTCAAAAACAAAAAACAACTGAGGATGAGGGAGGAGGGGTAAGTTTTTATTATCTTTCTGGTTTTTGTTGTCTGTTGAAGGCAAAACCAAATTATCTCTCAAGTAGCTGTCCTGGAAGATAATTTGGGAAAAACACCCTTTAAAGCAAACATTTAGTGTGTAGTTAGAACTTGGTCTTGTTAGCAACCTCCATATGATAGCCAGTTGTCTTGGCCTGGACTGTAGCCAAATTTCCAAAGCTACTATAACGACTCTAAGGCTTCCACTGCGCTCAGTGGTTCCTACTGTACGTCAGTACATGGCACAGTAATGATATAGGTGTAAGTGGGATGAACCACGAATGCAATGGGGGACACAGAAATTCAATAGCCTTGGAAGTGGCAGTTCCTGAAGACACTTCAATGAGCAATGTCCCCCAAAAAATGGTAACGAATGCTATATAAACTGATAAATCAGAGTTTTGGTCAAATTACATAGCTAAAAACCACATAACTTGTGAAATAAACAAACACAAAAATACAGAACCTGTACAAATACAAACAATCTTACACAGTGGGATTAGACATCGAGGCACAGTCCACCAACTCACCTGGATATCTGTGTCCTTCACTGGCTCAAGAGGCTCAAATGTTGTTACTGCTGCACTGAGACTTTCTAGCCTCTGGGATATGTGAGAGATGTCCAAACCTCTGGAACCCAGCAAAACTGACCTAATGATGGGATATATGCAAAGCTTGAAACAATTTCTATCACAACATATAACTGTACATACATATAACTCATAAAAACACCTCTTTTCCACCTTCGTATAAAGACATTGCTCATCTGCTAAATGCAAGTTATGCAGATTAGGAGTCAGGTTGGTTCTTACGCTTTAACATTGGCCGACTCCTGGGAAGTACGGGTCATAGTCCTGGAGCGGAGCCTCTCTCCAGCCTGCTGGATTTCCTGAAGATTTCTTTCCACATGAGGCAGCTCTGTGATCCCTTCTGTCTCTGCAGCCAATTGTTCTGCTTGCTGCAGCAGCTCTCCAAAGCCCTCACCGTCCATTGTGAGGGAAGATCTGTAACATGTATATAAAGTTAATATATGTAGAACAGGCGCAGCTGGTTTACAAATACTATCCACTAAAGTACATATTGTATATGCAGTATAATTAACTACTTTGATGCATGCTATGGGCTGGTAATAGAGCCTGTGGTAACATACAAGTCTATAGAAATGGAAAAACCACTTGTAACCTGTAAACAGATGTCAACTGCAGGTCAAATGCACCTGTCAATGAATATTGAAAGATCTCAGGAATGACAGAAGACCAACCCCTGTCGATACAGACTCTGTAATGATCCAAATAGTAATCTTTTTGCCCACAATAGGCAGGCAACTTCCAACTGTTGTTTAACTTCAAAATATTTTGAATTAAGAAAACAGTTGGCTGCCAGGAAGAGCTAAAACACTTTGTATATGCAACAAATTAGAAGTCATTACCATGCTTCTTGGCCACAAAGCAGATGGGGATGAGACATTCCCTCTACTTCCTTAACCACTTGCCAACCGCGCTATAGCCAAATAACGACTACAGCATGATTGTCCAGTCCTGGGAGGGCGTCATATGACATCCTCCCAGAACGTGCCCTCGGCCATCTCCGTGATCGCTTGTGTCCTACGGACACAGCTGATCACATGATGTGGTAAAAGGCCACGTGATCAGCTGTGTCCAATGACAGCAGATCACCGGTAAATGCAGTTACTGGTTATCGGCTGCACTTTCCTCGCGCTGTCACAGCGTGAGGAAAGTACTGCTGATAACCGGCAATTGTCAGAGGACAGATCGGCACTGATTATCAATGCCTAGCAGTGCCGCCAATCAGTGCCCATCATTGTTGCATATCAGTGCCACCTCATCAACACACATCAGTGAAGGAGAAAAATTACCTGTTTGCAAAATTGTATAATAGAAACAAAGAAAAACTTATTTTCTTCAAATGTTTTGCTTTTTTTTGTTTATAGTGCAAAAAATAGAACACCCATCAGTGATTAAATACCACCAAAAGAAAGCTCTATTTGTGTGAAAAAAATTATAAAAACGTCATATGGGTAGTGTTGCATGACCGCGCAATTGCCATTCAAAATGCGACAGCGCTGAAAATTGGCCTGGGCAGGAAGGGGATATAAGTGCCCGGTAGGCAAGTGGTTAATATGCACCTTACAGCGGAGGTCCAATCAGAATAAAAAAAAATAAGTCAGCAGCTACAAAAAAAAATTTAGCTGCTGACTTTTAAAAAAATGGACACTCACCTGTCCCTCGATCCCGCGGTGTCCTCACACTGACCGGATTGACTGACCGCCCTGTCTCCCCAGCACCAGCTGTGACAGCTTGCGGCTTCACAGCCGGGTGCCCATTGCGCATGCGCAAGTAGCGCTGCTCTTTGTGAACGGTCATGTAGTCTTCTGGGACCTGTTATGTGTCCAAGAAGACTACAGGGGGACCTAGGTGATCAGAGCAGCAGTGGGAGTGTGTACCTGTCAAATTCAGGTACCCCCTCCCCAAACTGTGCCAATCCTTAATGGGGAGCAGGGGACAAAGCCTTAAAGCAGAACTTCCCCTTTTGGGTGGAGCTCCGCTAGAATATTTCCTCTACTTGGTGGATAGTGCAAGAAAGGGTTTTAAAACTCTGTGAGGCTTTCTTTTATTGTCATCAAATGGGTAGAGAAAGTGTTTGGCCAAATGTTTGTGGCCCATAGTTTCAACATACAGTATATATTATAGGGTGTTGGAAATTATATACGGTACATTGAAAATGCACATTTAAAAAAATTATATATTTATATACACACAATGTGTATACAATATACACTGATCAAAAAATTAAACACTTTGAAAACACATCAGATCTCAATGGGGAAAAATCTCATGATGGATATCTATACTAATATATGGACGGGGTAATGTGTTAGGAATGTAAGGATGCCCCATCGCCTGATGGAAATAATCAACCTACAGAGGACTGATGCAGAAGGCTAGTCCATTTTTCTGAAATTTCATTGCAGCAACTCAAAATGGTCCTCAGTAGTTTGTATGCCCCCACGTGCTTGTATGCGTGCCTGACAACATCGGGGTTTGTTACTAATGAGACGACGGATGGTGTCCTGGGGTATTTCCTCCCAGATCTGGACCAGGGCATCACTGAGCTCCTGGTCAGTCTGAGGGGCAACCTGGCGGTGTTGGATGGACTGAAATATGATATCCCAGAGGTGTTCTATTGAATTTAGGTCATGCGAGCATGGGGGCCATTCAATGGTATTATTATTATACAGTATTTATATAGCGCCAAAGGGTTTGCTCACCGCAGTACAATAGCAAGGGGGACAATGGTATCAATTCCTTCATCCTCCAGGAACTGCCTGCATACTCACACTACATGGGGCCGGGCATTGTTGTACACCAGGAGAAACCCAGGACCCACTGCACCAGTGTAGGATCTGACAATGGGTCCAAGGATTTCATCCCGATAACTAATAGCAGTCAGGGTGCCATTGTCTAGCCTGTAGAGGTCTGTGTCCCTCCATGGATATGCCTCCCCAGACCATCACTGACCCCACCACCAAAACAGTCATGCTGAACTATGTTACAGGCAGTATAAGATTCTCCACGGCTTCTCCAGACCCTTTCAGGTCTGTCACATGTGCTCAGGGTGAACCTGCTCTCATCTGTGAAAAGCACAGGGCGCCAGTGGCGGACCTGCCAATTTTGGAGTTCAATGGCAAATGCCAATCAAGTCTATGGTGCCGGGCAGTGAGCACAGGGCCCACTAGAGAACATCGGGCTCTCAGGCCACCCTCATGAAGTCCGTTTCTGATTGTTTGGTCAGAGACATTCACACCAGTGGCCTGCTGAAGGTCATTTTGTAGGGCTCTGGCAGAGCTCATCCTGTTCCTCCTTGCACAAAGGAGCAGATACTGGTCCTGCTGGTGGGTTAAGAACTTTCAAGCTCTCCTAGAGTAACTGCCTGTCACCGGGAATCTCCTCCATGCTCTTGAGACTGTGTGGAGAGACACAGCAAACCTTCTGGCAATGGCACCTATTGATGTGCCATCCTGGAGGAGTTGGACTGTCTGTGCAACCTCTGTAGGGTCCAGGTATGGCCTCATGCTACCAATAGTGACACTGACCCTCGCCAAATGCAAAACTAGTGAAAAACAGTCAGAAAAGACGAGTAGGGAAAAAAACATCAGTGGCCTCTGTAAGGAAAAATGACTTATTAAGCCTCCACCTGTAAAAACCATTCCTGTTATGGGGGGGTTGTCTCATTGTTGCCCATCTAATGCATCTGTTAATTTCATTAACACCAAAGTCGCTGAAACGGATTAACAACCCCCTCTGCTACTTACCTGACCAGATCAATATACTAGGAGTTTCACTGACTTAATGCTATACTCTGATTAAAAAGTGTTTCTTTAATTTTCTTGAGCAGTGTGTGTGTTTTATATATAGATAGAGAGAGCGCTTTCCAGCACAGTGCCTGTATGACTGCAATCCTGTCTATACACAAGAGTGACGTCATCCCGCACCGACCTATCAAGATGGCTGATGACTGGCACCTGAAAGAAACAAGAGAGCCTGGAACAGGTATCCTGTTTCTACCAGGGCCCACTCACAACACTTGTGGCGCAGAAAATGCGCTCTACTCTTTAAGTGTACATGGGTGCCATTAATTCAATACCTGCACCCTAATCACATCAAGCAAACACGTTTCCACAGTGAGATGACTGCTGACCTTTGGGGAGGGGGGGGGGGGCGGGTACCTGAATTTGACAGGTACCCGCTCTTACTTCCGCGGAGTTGTTCTTTGATCTTACCTGTTCCTCTATCCAGCCACGCGCTGTCTTCCCGGCTTCTGTAGTGTCGGCGCTCAGCATGACAGCCGGGTGCCAAGTGCACATGCGCAAGAAGCACTTGCGCTTTGTGATTGGTCCGGCGGCTTCTGGGATCTGTCATGTGTCCCAGGTACCGCCTTACCATTCACAAAAAGCACCGCTTCTTGTGCATGCGCACTGGGCACCCCGGCTGTCATGCCGAGCGCCGACACTACAGAAGCCGGGAAGACAGCGCGCCGCTTGATAGAGGAACAGGTAAGATCAAAGAACAACTCCGCAGAAGTAAGAGCGGATACCTGTCAAATTCAGGTACCCGCCCCCCCCCTCCCCAAAGCTCAGCAGTCATCTCCATAAGGTCCCGCTGCAGAGCTGAGCGGCCGGCCTGGTATTCTGACACGGCGGCGGTGGAAATACCGGACTGGCCGCTCCATAAGACGCACTTACATTTCCCCCCCCTTTTTTGGGGGGAAAAAAGTGCGTCTTATGGAGCGAAAAATACAGTATGTTCCTGTCACCAAAACACACAGTTCTGTCATCTGATGCGGTTTTATGCAACACAATTTGAGCAGAGGCGCCTGCCATGCTTTATGTGCTGGTCAGCGCACTGAAATGAATGGACTGTCAGGAACGCACAAGAACGCACATGTTGCGGTGTGGCCCGGCCTCCAATGTATACGCAGCGGCTGTACGCACTCACCTGCAGCTCTGACGGGGGCAGGGACCCCAACACAGACCCTGTGCACCCCCTCCAGAGCTGCGGGAGAGTCTGCACACCGGGGCCACCAGCTCAGAGCCCCATACCGCACTATGAATGAGCCCAGACAGGTCAGCAATGGCCGCCCCCACATCTATCACACGGCCTGCCTACACACCACAGGTATCCCTGTCCGCATAGAGTATGAAGGAGCCCCCCAGTATTAGGGCTGAGCAATGTGAGCCCACCTCACCCAGGGGCTCGGCCTGTGCTGCTCACCGAGGACAGGGAACTCACACTGAGGAGGCCAGGCTGTCACTGCCAGCACCGGGGGGGCGAGGATAACTCCGAGACCGGCCGCCGTGCCCTCCACTGCCCGCCTCTCCCCGCACTCCCGGCTTCCATCCCCTCACATGACTCCCAGCCCCTCCATACCTGCCCTCCTCCGCTCTCCTCGCGCTCTCCGGCTTCTGCACTC